CATCATCATCATGGACAATCATAAACTCATTTCAGTTAATATAAGGGTATCATTAAAAAGTCTGTACATATCCTTTCCCACCGAGAAATCCCAGTCGACCTCCCAGCGGGCTTTCGGACATATTGCGCATAGGATCTAGGAGCCTGCCCGAGACCCCCTAACTGTCTCAAATAGGGACATTCAAAAAGAAGGTTGAAGATGTTCAGGCGCAAGTGACCTGGTATGAGCCGTAGCGGCGTCTGGTTCCAGCTACGCGGCAGATTTGAGTGGCATTGACATGGCTGGCGATGTCGGAGAGTTCGTTCTGGTCGCACATGGTGTTATCGAACAACTCGATGTGGCAGCCTTCGGCCACAGAGTTCAGCGTGTAGGCAGAGGCAACGCTGTGGAGATTGGCGCGACAGCCTGTGCTGCCAGATCCAAAGTGAGGGTCACCAATAGTTCCGTTACATGAGGACGACGGGAAAAGGGTGAAGGACCATTGAACCCCGTGACTGATGAGGGGGAATGCGGAGGCGAAGTTGAAAAATAGAGTCGCGGCCAGGAGGCAGAGGCGAAGAGTAGAGATCATGACGCCGTGGGAACGAAAGTACACTGGGTGTATTTGGTTGAGAAGGCTACACAATTGTAGAGGCGCAAGTAATAAAGGTAAGAAAGGAGGGGGGTGGTTTGGCTCTTAAAGGGTCTAGAAAGACTGACAGGGGAAAGTCCACAATTTATAGTGGGCCCACCAAAATTTCGAGATTAGGAAATTCCTTCTTTGAAGAAAAAGAGAAAACATCTATGTCTCAAGATGCCAAGCATCGACTTTGTTTAGGGCACACGTACACTTACTTTGACTTCCGAACCCAGTCAGATATATTGCAAACCTGCAGGAATTCAAACATCGTCTCCGGAAATGTACACATTGCGGAAACCCCAACGGGTTTTCATTCCTAATGATATCATTCCCGATCGATTATCGTTTAGTCCTATTCGGGTATGTGTGGGGGGGCTGGGACACCCATCTTACGCAGATGCATACGTACTCTTCCCCTGAGGATCCAGACATTCGCACTTCGTGCTTCGTACTCCGTACTCCGTAACCACCAGTTTCCGATGTTGGTGTTCGTTCTATTTTGGTCAACCCGTAGGTATCAACCTGGTGAAATATCCAAAAAAAAATAAGGCGGCACGGCATACATCTCAGCCGACAGAACGGGCAAACAAATTAAATTTCTTATCCGATCGGCAGAGAGACCTTGGAATCTTCCAAAGTTACATTTTAACGTATCCATGGTTCTACATCGTTTAATTTCACCTAGGTTTTCTCTTTGTGACCCACACTACTGTTTAACATGGAGCCAAATGTTTCACATATCCCTAACTTCAACCTATTTGTCCCCAGAAGCTGTACGGAGTACTCCGTACTCTAAAGGTAAATTTACTTGGTTTCCACTCAGTGACCGGATGTGGATTCCGATGGCTATCGATTCGTTGCTTCCAGGGTCTGATCGACAACGCCGTAGACTCTTACATCTCCAATAATCTATGCATCTTACGCACAATCTTCTCTCAAATGAAACGAATAGGGAAATTTTCTAAATAGAACCTTCCCAGTCTTTCCTCTGTAATCTCGGGTTATTGCCTGTGCCATTTCTCTGATCACACACATCGTCAAGGTTCTCCGGGAGATTAGATATTTGCCGAATCTGGGTATGAGATATGAGAAGGGTCTTGTTCGCAGAAGATTGAATGCGCCGTCTGTATTAACAAAGGCAACACAGCCTTTGACTATCATCTTGCCCGTCAATGATATGAGCAATCCCACTCGAACTGGCAAGAGCTACAGGGGGATACGGGTCCAGTTTCACGCGTCAAAATGTTTTCGGAACAGATGTTGTTCTCAGTATCTTCCAAGGTCTGTCTTACGGTCCAATGGAAAAGTCCCTTATAACTGGACGATCGAGTCGCACGGAATATTCTTGGAATCCTGGGTGCAGTGAATTCCAACCTTCGAATTGGTAGACCGAACTATCATTTCTGGGTTTGCTGGTCTATCCAAGCATGTGGTTACTGTGTACGAACCATCCTTGAGACCGCACCCATTTCCTTGTACAGCTACTCTCTCAATTGATCACATTTACAGGAGACATAACACTGAAGGGCTACATCAGTCAATCTTGATTCTATGGTCGTCGCAGGGGGGTTCCTCTCGGAGTGTACAGCATTGTCAAAGATTTCAGCACTGCCCGCAAGTTTTAGCTCCAAATTCTGACAGCACTCAGCCTCCCTACTTGGGCACAGTGTCTCTACTATGGAAAAGTGAATTTTCAAGGTAGACACTGCTCTTTCTATCCAACGAGACTTTGTTAACAATCACTCAGACTTAGAAAGCTAGAATCATTGAATGCTGTGTCGCAGTCACTTCACTTCTACTACTGTTGGGCAGCATTAAAGCTGAACTGATGTCTGCCTTGCAGGCTACAAATCGCGGTGGACTGGAATGACCTCTCATCGTGATGGCAGTTTTAAGTGCATGTTTACTTGCAGCAGGTGTGCCGAGACATTGTCGGGATGCTCACGTCCACCGGACTTTTGAGGAACCAGCTTCATACTTGTTGGGATTGATGCTGCTGGTGACTTGTTTTAGCTCTTCTCCGTTTATAAGCCAAATTGGTTGTCGGGTGGAGATTGTCAATGGCTAAAATGCAAGCAGTGTTCAGATCGACTATTAATATCCATTGGAGTTGTAATCTATAGAACTGAATACACACTTCGCGTGGGCCTGTTTATCCCAGGTGGTGTGTTCAACCTCCGGCCCTGGATTAAAAATTGCTATGAGCAGCGAGATGGCAATTTCCAGCACCCGGTGCTTCTGCATCCAACGCCATAGTTGACTTCTGTGATCAGGGTCGCGTCCGAATTTCAAGTGTTGAAAAGGAGGCCATGTTTGAGATCATGAAAAATCGGCTATTCATTATTGAAATGTTTTAAAATCACAATACGACTTCAAACTCGGATGATAGACAGTCAGGTTTCTTTCGTTGATGCATCCGTGATGGCAATCGTCGTCTAATGTGGTGCTGGGTCGTTCGATGTCTGTAAACCGGAATAGTTTTGCATAACCGGAGGTGTAAGATAAGATCGATTTACACAAATGTAGCCGGATAGAGCTGGATGGAACTAGAAATTGTGGAGAACGTTGGGAGCAGCTGTTAGATTCGGGTTGGACTTTGTCTCGGGGAATGCGGCTGAAAAGAGCTCCGCGACCTCCCGGACTCACCTGCTCTTGCGATACCTATTCCAATTCGATTTGATGTATCTCCTTCGCTCTGTATTGATGATGTTCTACAGGAGGCTGTCTCCGAAGGGACATCTGGGCAAGCACTCACATGGGTCTAATGTAATGTGGAGATCCCTTTGCCTCTTTCATGGCCATGCCAAGAATCCTCTAGCACATTTCAGTCTAGCCACAGTGTCTTGTTTCATGTTATCCCTCGTATCTGTACTTGCATATTGTGGTCTGATGAACAGCAGTGGCCTTTGCCTACAGTTTTGCCTTGCTTTCTTTCGGGAATCTCCCGGTATCAACATCAGACCATTAAGGAACCCAGGCGGTGCATCACACTCAAAAGTTGCACTGAAAGTTTGGGTGTCATTTCTCGAAGAATGCTTTGATAAATTCCTTTGAGTCTCTGTAGCACGGTCAGTATATTATTTGACCTTGCGAACCTTAGTAATGAGGTTTGATGAAACGAGTTGGAGAAAGCATACCTCCCGCTAATCATTTGGTACAATACAGCAGAATAGACTAGACGAGTCTCCTCGGCACTCCCTAGGTTCCGCCCCATGAGCTCCAGCGAAAGAGATGATGCCATGGGGCTTACATTCTCTGCAACTTTCGCAGCTAGCTCCAGCGCACGCGCGACTGCCTAATTGGATCAGGGTCTATCTCCTGGAACAGCATCTCAAAATGCGGCAACGTAGGTGAGAATGTACCGCCAGTGGTGATTAATTAAAGAGCTTCGGAGTAAACAGTTAACCATGGGAGATAGAATCGGCACTCCAGCCCGGAATGTCGGTGCCAAAAGTAAATGCTCTAATGGTTTCACGCCATTCAGAGTGCCAGCCTGCAAGCTCCAAATCCAATTCTGCAGTGAAATGACCATCGTTAACCAAGATGTTTTCCGTGTCAAATCACCGTGCGTGAACACCAATTTATCCTCTAACTGGTTAATGGCTGTATAACTTCGTAAAAATTACGGGGCTGAGGTGGTCAATCTCGAAAATAGGTGCTCTTCAAGGTAGATTGGATATCTGGTACACACATCTTTATGACTGAAATGTCCCAGATGTTTGTGCTTTATACCTCGTAGTTGCTGTACATTTCCGCGCAGTTCCTGCGCGACAGAAATTTTTGTGACAGGATCATGCTGGACCAGGCATCCTGCAACGTACAACTTTCGATATGATCCATCAAAATAGACTCAACGCCACCATCATGGATTCGAATTTCCTGAACGTAGGGAATCAGGATGGTCGTCTGTTCGGCAATATAGCGTATTTCTCGGCTTAAAGCTCTATATAGTGGGATGGTCCATAATTGAGCAATCTGTCGTTGGTGACTCGCATGTTCCGTCGGAGTCTCGGTTGTTGTCGCTCTAAGTGCGTCCACAAGTTTACATCACGGAAGTCTCCAGAGTCACTTTGAACTTACTGACCCTCGCCAGAGACATTCATGGCGTCAACGACGACCGCCTGCTTTCGAGACTCCTCGACATCAGTGTAGAAACAGATCATCAGGTAGTGAGGCACCATTCGACCCATGACCAATCACGTGGCTGGGAGCGGTCAGACATGCAGTCGACTGAATGGAGCAACCTTGGAAGTTGATGTTAGCCCGTAGTCTCAAGGTCACATACGGAAGCAGGACAAGAATTACGAATGATAGATGACACATCGCGTTTAGACAAGAGCACCGTTCATTATTCTACTCTATGTGGCGTGAATAGTCATAATCAGGAAAGCCCAAGACTGTAGGCCACCCCCCATCTATCTGGTGGAAAAGAGCATTTAAGCGAAGACCTTGGTCTCGCCGGCCTTCAGCTTACCAGCATCAACAAGGCGCTTGGCCTCACCAGACCAAGCCGTCTTGACGGCAGCGCCATCGGTGCCTGCGATGGTGAGCTTCTGAGCCAGGGCGGCGAGCTCATCAACATCGATCTTGGCCATGATGAGGTCGACATCGGTGAGGACACCGTCGATCTCAGCGGCAGTTGGCTCACCGGCGGCGAAGTAGTTGACATCCTTGACGGAACCCTTGAGGATACGCTTGTTCTTCTTAGAAGCGTTCTTAGCGGCCTCCTTGGCCTTCTTGCTCTTCTCGCGGTCAGCCTTGGCAGCCTCCTCGGCGTCCTTCTTGCGCTGCTCCTCGGCGGCCTTGGCATTCTCCTTCTCTTCCTTGAGACGGCGAATCTCCTCCTCCTTGGCGAGGCGCTTAGCGTCCTTGCCAGCACGAGCCTGTTGGCGGAACTTCTTAATACGCTCATCGGAAGCGAGACATTCGTCAACGAGCTCACGCAGGCGGACGGTATCCTCAGTCTTGCGCTTGCGGCGGGCGTTGGCATTCTTCTTCTCGACATGACGCTTCTGGTCACGGCTCTCTCCGTCATCAGGCACATCCTCATCGAGGTACTCGAAAGTCCTCCAGCTGTCAAAGTTGTACCAGAAGTTGTAGAAAGTCTCGACGTGCTCCTGGGTGCTGTTCTCATCTCCGAGTGTGGGCACGGGCTGCTTGTTGGAGAAGCGACCTTCGGCAACAAAGACAGGGCTCCAGGCCTTGTAAAACTTGCTACCAGCGAGCTTCTTGGTGGGGGCCTCAACGTCGGCGTTCTCATCGACGGAATCGAACTGGCGACGACGAGTGGGATCGAGAAGAAGATCGGTGGCCTTCTGGATACACTTGAAGAAACTGTCGTTCTCATCGCTGTTACCCTGGGCGGCCTTCTTGTCAGGGTGGTGACGCAGGACCTTCTTGCGGTGAGCCCGCTTGATCTGCTCGGGGGTTGCGCGCCAGCGGTACTTTTTCAACCCCAAGACGGCGTAGTGATCCTGACCCTGCTAGGGGTTAAAAAGTGATCAACCTGGATAGATGTGACACTACTGACCTTCCAGTCCTTGGCCTCACGGGCAAGCATCATAGGATCCTCATCTTCAGAGATGTCATCATCCTCCTCAGTCTCAGTCTTCTTGACGTTGTTCTGGGCCTGGAGGCGCTCATCCTCGGAGAAAGTACGGTTGTGACGAGACTAAATAATGGTTAAAATTAACGAAACGGAGAAATCACTGAATTTGGAGGACTTGCTCGGCGAGCGTGAGCCAGGAAGTGCGGGCCAACGGGCTCCACGTTGCGCTTGGTGGCACTGGACAGAGCGCCGACAATCTTGAAATCCTTCTCGCCAGCCCAGCCCTGAGGCAAGGTAGGGAGGGAAATGTCAACAACTTGAGCAGCAGCCATTGTGTATTGGTATTGGTGATAGTACCAAGTTGTGTGTGGAGAGCGTCGGGTCCCGCGATGGATTTTTTTGCATACATTTTTTTCTGCCCTCAACATCCGCCCATCGAACCAATCACGGGTCAGATGTTTTGGGGGTTCGAGATTGGCGACGGCGACAGGCCTTGGTTAGTTCTTCTGTTGACTTGTCCATTCTGATTTGTGGTCTGATTGATCTGCATTCTTATTCAGAAATTGAAACTCCTACATCGCATTTACAACATCAGCCATAGCTTCGTCCGATTTCCTTGTCCGTGCCGATCATCCGCCGCGCCAAGTTGCAACCTGTGCTTCTCGACTGCTATTGCTACATACATCCACGTCTTTACTCTCCGTGGAATTCCATCTTTCAACATGGTTACCTCCACTGCCGCTGCCGCTAAGAGTGCCTATCGACAAATTCTTCGGTCCTCCCAGGTTGCCTTCCGCAGTTCGTTTTTCAAACACAACCGCCATATGGGCATCTGTTTCCCTCATACTGACGTTCGCTTCAGATGATCTCCCAGTCCTAACCGCTGCGCGCCAAAAAGCGCGCCACGACTTTGAGAAGAACCGTCGCCCGGCCGTCGACACTGGAATGCAAATTAACAATGCGATCGAGATTGCGAACATCCTGCGCCACAACATCATTCAAGGCTCGAGGGAGCAAGGAGATGAAGCTGCTAAGTGGGGTATGTGTCTCATTGATTACGCGATTCAACTTCACGACTTGGTACCCATATTGACCATACGACTGTTCATTAACGAGATATTATTTCCACAGAACTCAATATCCACGACCAGATCGAACGTGGTGATAACGACTCTATCAAAGTCGGCGATCAGGATGTTAAGATTCACAAGGCTTGCTCTTCATGATAGGGATTCGTTCCTTTACCAGGATGCTCTGTTGAAACTGAGCGCACTGTCCGAATCCATTCGAAGTCCAAAAACGACTCTGAAAATGACGTCGAAGCCAGTCTGTGAGCCTATGCCAAATCGGCAGCACATGAAACAGCAAAATAAGCTACGACAGAGACCGGACATGTATTATAAGATACCCGACTCTTTAATTCATTAGCGTCTTCGGGGTATTTTCGATTGAAGTACATAGATCTGCATAGAAAACCCCAATCCTTGGCAACGCCCGCTCCGAACCATAAGTTACATACGACCTCGATTTGATTTAATGGTATATCTGTGCACAGGTTTTATTCAATCGCCATTCATGCTGGCGTATTGGACCTCACCTGACCCCGGCGGCGGTGCAACAACGTGAGGCTGAGCTTTCTCTGGGCCAGCACGCTCGCCTGCAGAGGTGATGGCTCGTCGGTCTGCTTGCTTGCCTTTACCAACCGATCCCACAGTCTGGCGACCCTCACGGGCATTTTGCATTCTCTCCTCACGGTCCAGGTTATCTAACGGTTTTGGTTTTCCCCACCGAACACGCAGAGGGCAGCCCTGGATGATGGCCTTGCCTTGGCAGCGGTTTGCGGCGTTTTCAGCGTCCAAACGGTTGACGTAGTTGATGAAAGCACAATGGGAGCGGTGTGAGCAAATGAGCGACCGTAGCTGGCCAAATTCGCTGAAAAACGTGCGTAGCGCATGTTCAGGCAGATCGTCTTCCACGCCTGTAATAAACAAAGAAGTGACGTTGGGATCCGTAGGGGGGAGAATATCAGCAGCTGAGGGCGGCAACTGGGTGGTACTGGGGAATGGGCGACCACCACGACCACCACCTCGTCCTCCACGGCCTGGGAGGCGATTTCCAACGCGACTTTCACTGGTGCGAACCGGACCAGGCCCATTTCCATAACGGCTGTTTGTTCGTGGTTGATCCGTCGCCGCACTTTCCTCTCCATTCTCTTCCCCGATAGATGCTTCGATTCTTCGGGGTTTGCGGTAGTACGGTTCGCTGTTTGCAAGGCGGCGCAAGAGCTCGCGAGCCTTGTCGTCTGTCTTCTCGTATTCTTCAATGGCACCACGGCCCTCTTCGATTTCCTTCTCGTTGTTCTGTGCGTAATACTCGCGATTGATGGAGCTTTCCGGTCCTGGGGCGACCATTTTGAGAGCAGCATCACGGACGGCAAGGGGAAGGCCAAACGACAAATCTAGCATGCAGCATTGACAGCAATTCTTCAGGCGCGCGCATGTGAGGCAGATGATGGATCGCTTTTGGCGGGAGGTCCGATCGGCCTTCCAACGGAAGATAGTGAAAGGTCTTGTGCACTGATTAGTTAATATGTGGTTAGAAGCTAGCTTCGAAGCAGCAGGGGAAAAAAAACTTACAATCTTGCATTCTGCGCCATGATCTTCCTTGATCATTTGCACGTATGGATTTTCGGGAAGGCAGTTCTCACAAACAGAGGGAAAGTCTGTCGACTCCCAGCCGGATCGGTTCAAGTCATGCTTAATTTGAGGGGGCATGTCGGGATATTATGGGGTTAGTTGGTCCAAGAGGTGAGAGCTCTAAGGCTGGATTATCAAGATCGGGAAGTGGCGTGTGGCGTAATGTGGCTGATGAGTCACGTGAACAGCTGTCCCTCAGGCCACCTTTTTTTCCCGGCACAGCGTTCGACTCAGCCACAGCCGGAAGATGGTGTCCCGTGAGGGAAAAAGAGTGTGGCCACTCCCCAAACCCTCCCCGGAGGACACTAAAGCTCGGTCTAGTTGTTCGGAGGAACCCTGATTGGCTCTCCACGTTGGATTGCCAAAAAGTTGCTTGGGATTCGACTCTTTGATTTATTTCTCCTTTCTCCTACTTCTACAAGTCGCTCTCCATTCTCTTCAATTTGCTCTCTTGCTTCGTTTCTTTTGTGGTATTTCCACTCTTGCTTTACATTGTCTTTTTCTCCCGGAACATCTTGGAAATTGACACTTGTTTGCCTCCTTCCACCAATCTACCCCTTATAATCTTTACGACTCATTTCTTCACCATGGCACCATCTGTACTGGAACGTGAGGATAAGGCGCGTGATGCCGCCTTCAACAAGGCTCTACACGGCGAATCTGCCAAGGCCCAGGGTGGTCTAGCTGCCTTGCGCGGAAAGGACGCCGCCGCCCAGAAGGCAGCAGTGGATGAGTACTTTAAGCACTGGGACAACCAAAGTGCCGCTAATGAGACACCTGAGATTCGTGAGGTATGGCAAAGCGTATCCAAATCAATTTGTTCTCATCGCTAACAATTTCTACGTGAAAGGCCCGCAAGGCTCAATATGCCACCTTGACCCGGCAGTACGTTCGGAAATAAACCCCATTGATCCACGATCCTCATGCTGATGATTTTTTTACAGCTACTACAACCTGGCCACCGACTTTTACGAGTACGGATGGGGTTCCTCCTTCCATTTCTGCCGCTTCGCCTACGGTGAGCCTTTCCTTCAGGCCATTGCCCGCCACGAGCACTACCTTGCCCTCCAAGCTGGTATCACGGAGGACATGAAGGTCCTAGATGTTGGCTGTGGTGTCGGTGGTCCTGCTCGCGAGATAGTCAAATTTACCGGTGCTCACGTTACCGGTCTGAACAACAACGACTACCAGATCGACCGCGCTACCCACTACGCGCACAAGCAGGGTCTCTCGGACAAGATGGCCTTCGTCAAGGGCGACTTCATGCAGATGAGCTTCCCCGATAACAGCTTTGATGCCGTGTACGCCATTGAAGCGACTGTTCACGCTCCCGAACTTGTCGGTGTTTACAGCGAGATCTTCCGTGTGCTGAAACCCGGTGGTACCTTCGCTGTGTACGAGTGGCTCATGACTGACGAGTACAACAATGATGATCCCGAACACCGTCGCATCCGTCTCGGTATCGAGCAGGGTGACGGTATCTCCAATATGGTCCGTATCTCCGAAGGTCTCGAGGCCATGAAGAACGCTGGCTTTGAACTGAAGCACCACGAGGATCTCGCTGCTCGCCCCGATCCCATTCCCTGGTACTACCCGCTGGCGGGCTCTTTCAAGCACATGGCTTCGGCTTGGGACTTCTTCACTATCGCTCGCATGACCTGGTGGGGCCGAGGCCTTGCCCACCGCTTCGTCGGTGCTGGCGAGTCTATCGGTCTCTTCCCTAAGGGCTCCCAGAAAACTGCCGACAGTCTGGCCTTGGCTGCTGATTGTCTGGTCGAAGGTGCTCAGAAGAACCTATTTACCCCCATGTACCTCATGGTCGGCAAGAAGCCTGAGTAAATCCTGACGAACAACGGTATCGGTGTTCTTTCTGTGTAAAAAAAATATTACCCCCCTCCCACCTGGCGTGCACGTTCTTCCCTGGTACCCATCATCTCATTCTATTTCATCTTCTTTATGTTACCCTTGCATGTCACCAGGGGATTTTTCTTGGCTCAACTCTGGCCCAACGTCGGTAGATATCGAGCCGCGTGCCGCCTTCTCTCAGTCGATGGTGTCATTAATGTTTCTTTCTCTTGTTTCTTTTACCTGTCAAGATAGCAATGTAATAGTCATCGAGTCAAGAATAACGAGCAAAGGATTGGTATTGTTTTTTTGTTAATTTTTTCTCTATTTATTTACAGTTAGAACTAGATCACGATGGCACATGTCTTTGGTTGATGTCAGCAACAGCCGCACCGCTTGAATCGGAACCACAGGAAGACCACCACAAAATTGACATTGATGAATAGCTTGAAGTCTCCCCAACAGTCAGTTTCGGATCTGTTCCACGACGAGGCAGTAAATTCCGCCACCTCGGTTTCACTGCGCCAGATAGCCCTGTGAAGAGTTGCCTAGCCCATCACAGACCCATCAACCTCTAGCACCATAGTCAAGAAGCATCTTGATCTTGACGTAGTGGCAGCGCAATATGGCCCAGAACACGATTGACTGATTTTGCAAGACTGGTTTCGGATCTGCGCCATCCTCAAGAAGTAACCGCCCAACATCATCCCTGCTAAACGGCCGAAGCTTGCTGTGTCCTTAAACAGCAAGCCAGATAGATAGAGTATCGGTACCTTCATCCAGAAGCATCTTCATGACTCCCTTGAGTCGAAGTAGAATTGTAGAATAGAGTGGTGTTTGATTTGGCGAGTTCCCCTGGGGAACTTCCCCACCTTGATTCCGTCGGCTTGGTGGGATCAAGATGCTCACCTTCCCTGTTGGCATGTGGTCCCGTTCGGGCTTGGCAACCTGTAGCATCTACAGAGTACGTTTTTCCGGCCCACGAAGTTGCAAATGGACCGATACAACTAACGTTTCCCCTGCCCAATCTGCGCATGTACATTGATCCATCATGCTTGATGAAAATGACTATTCCGTAAATGGCACAGGGAGCCCTTGAATGTGGAACAAGTTCAGAGTTAGATTGAACTCGGTATCGGAACTAAAGGGTAAACCATTAAAAGCTTAAGGTCCATCAACCCCCCTGGGGGGGTGCATGGATGCAGAAGTAGCATGTGTCGGGTAGGAGCTTGGGGTTATTTTCTTTCCTTTCCTCATTGACAATGACAAACCGGCAATTCAGGTCTAAAGGAAGAGAAGAAGAGCTGTTTCGATGTCGTTCTGAAATGGTCTGGCTTAGAGACAAGGTATAACAAAAACTTGAATCCAAGTTAAGTCTAGTGCATGGAAAGGTCTTTTCCCGCCCGTTTCTGCTGTCTTGTAAATCTTGAGAAGAAATCTGACAATCCTCTCACAAAGACTACTAGTGATCCACTAAAGGCCTGGTAAAAACGTCACACTGCCGTATAGCATCCATATGTGTCTATCAAGCCCGAGATCATCTGAATGGAGGGTGGAGATTCAAGGGTTAAGTTTGCAAACGAGAAGCCAAGAAAGTAAGCAAATATTCATCTAGGCGAAAGCAGTTACCACATGTACCATATGAATTAACATATGGCTATATGGCTATAGGTTGTATGATCACATTGATAAAAGCAGCGCGTTGTATGGTCAGTCAGTTAGGGCAGGTACCCGGTCCACTATCTGTCTTTCCCCCAATTGAACCCCTTTGATTTAATTTCGGTCATTTCAGTTCAAGCCTTTGATTCTTCAGGATTGAATGCTTGAAAATGTAGCCAGTTAGCCCTGCATCGAACACAACGTGGTATCGGTTAGAAGGTGCAACATGGCACATTCTTTCGATAGATGAGGGGAATGTCATGCGTCCGAGGCTGACTCGAGTATAAGATCGCGTGTCGCCCGACAAATCTGCCACCCTCCTCATTGTAGCTGCTACTACTGCGATCCCAGAAATGTTCACCAAACAAACTCTTCTCGCGTTCATCGGGGCACTGGCCCTGGCCGCGGCCAAGACGACCACTGAAAAGACCCCAACTCAGGCCGAGATTGATGCAGCCCGTGCGACGGTCCTGCCTTACTCTCCGGTATCAAATGTAAAAGGCTTGGTTTTTGATCGCTTCGTCAACATCTGGCTGGAGAACACAGTTGGTTTCCTCTATGCATAAATAACAATGACCACATGCTCATCCCTTTTTAGGACTTTGAAACCGCAGCTTTAGACGAGAACCTGTCCAAGCTGGCTAAGGAGGGTATTCTCCTGACGAACTACTTTGCCATCACTCACCCCTCGGAGCCCAACTACTGTGCTTCCGCCGGGGGTGACACTTTCGGCATGGACAGTGACGACTTCCTGCAGATCCCCGCCAATGTCTCAACTATTGCCGATCTGTTTGACATCAAGCACATCGCTTGGGGCGAGTACCAAGAGGACATGCTGTATGCCGGCTACCAGGGCATGAGGTATCCCCTGAGCGGATCTAGAACACCACAGCCTTCCCCAGCACATGTTCATTACACCGAATATGACTAACGACTCTCACGACACCAACGTCACTGTGGCCGGCGACTGGGTTGCTCGCTTCCTCCCTCCCCTGCTGAAAAACGAGCACTTCAACAGGGATAGCCTGGTGCTACTTACATTTGATGAGACGGGCAACTACTCCCACCCTAACCGGATCTTCAGCTTCCTGGTGGGAGGTGCTATCCCGGAGCACCTGAAGGGCACCACCGACGACACCTTCTACACACACTACTCAATCATCGCCTCCCTATCCGCCAACTGGGGTCTGCCCTCGCTTGGCCGCTGGGATTGTGGTGCCAACCTGCTGGAGATGGTCGCTGAGAAGACCGGTTATGTCAACTGGAAAGTTGATGCTAGCAATGCCTATGTCAACCAGACTTACCCTGGCCCTCTGTCTACCAAGAACTATTCCTCCAAGTGGGCTGTTCCTGCCATCAAGGGCAAGTGCTCTGCTGGCCATGGTATTGCTCAAGTTGTGAAGCAGACCTACCACGGTCTCCAGCCTACCTACGACTACACCAGCCCTGTGCCCTATGATGCGACCAGTGGAAACAACATCGGTATCAAGTACCACCGTACTCTGGTATGGGCCCTTTCCTCTTCTTCCCATTGAAGATTTGATGCTAAGGATTTTTTAGAAGCACGGTAAGACGGAGACTGGTGTCACTGGGCAAACCAGCGATTCTCAAATGCCCATATGATGTGCTGTCACTGCCGTGTCAGATGTTCATGCTGGTCTATCAAAAGGATCAATTGAACGCTGTGTTGTTTTACCATGTTCAAAGGGCTTCTCTGGGTTTGTTGTTACTATTGTGGATGTGCCGGATAATTTGACTTCCAAAAGATGATCCACACGGACTGTGCTCTGAATATGGGGCCAGCTTACCTCTACCCCACGAAATAAATCTCTCCACAATCACACTCTATATTGCTCCGCAAAAAGGCTTGGATTTTTGGAAAATCAGAATTTGAGATGGACTAATCACCAACCAAACAAGCCAATTCATGTAGAGGAAACATTCTTTGGTGAGCTTTGCCTTTCCCTTCCTTCTTTTGATTATTAATACTTTGGTTGCGATGCCTTTGAGCATCTTCAGATCGAGCGCAGCACGTGATGTATATAGACCAAGTTACGATGTAGACACACTCGTTTAATTTTCTCTAGATTCGAGAGAGATATTCGCAAACCAAGAGACACCGAAAGTTCGACGACATTCGCTGAGCTGCTCAAATGCATACTTCGCATTCTGATCATTGGAAGGGTGTTTATCTAAGATTTGGTGCATTGAGATATTCCCCGCCTTGTTTCTCAGGATTGAATGCTGACCCCATCAAAATTCTCTTCAATCACAACCTCACTTGCAAACATTACTACAATAGCTTGAAATCCAGCGATTAATTGCTCTGGCTGTAAATGCCAACGGAGATCAGTCCTCTCTACAATACAATCAGCGACAATAGGATTGATTTCCAACCTTGGAAGTCGCTCAGATCGAGTAGGGTTGCAGAGAGCTCAGCCTTGCCACATGGCAGCCTGTTTTCCAAGGTTCTCCCACAAGAAACTCGAGGGGACGCCAAGACCCCAGAAGCGCCACATAGAGGCTGATTGGGACTTTATGACGTTTGAGCGTGCGCTTTGACTTTCCGAGGCTTTGCCGTGATCTGCAAGCCGTGTCCCGCGAAGTATCAGCCTCCGGTCGTCTCCTATGATGAATTGTAGAAGCGACGATCCCAAACGAGTGCTAAATGATGTTGAACATGGCATCATCTGAGACAGAGCGCATGTTCCTACTCGGGAAAGTACCGAGGATTACGATGCTTTTGTGTACAAAAACTCGGGGAATTTTGTTATTGGTCTTGGAGGATAATTAGTACAACACTAGTGCACAAAGTGTGCACCTACACACCACCACGTCTACCAATCTAGTTTCCGCTTCTTTCTTTCTTTCTTTCTTAATTAATTTAGGTTTTTTTTTCGCAAGCAGAACTTTTGTACGGAGTAGCTAACTATCAAATTGGAGGTGAATTGTCCGACAATGCCCGCTCGACTCCAAGAAATTCCCTTTTTCAGTGTTTGACCCGGGATCTTGTGTGGGCCCAGGTGCACACCTCCCTTTTCTTTCATTTATGTGTGTGTACTCGGTACTCAAGGCCAAGATACATGTGGCCAAGGTATGCACCCAAGGTTGTTGAATGCTTCGCATTGATTTACTTTCTCAGAATCTTGGAAAAATGTCTTGGAAGGTACTTGGAATACTTGGTCGATGAGCCAAGTAGTGGTAAGCAAATCTACCCATCTTGGAAGAGTGCTCAGCTATGAAAATCTTCGAGATCAACTCTCTTTGAGTGACTTATCCTTTCCTAATGCGGAGTTAACTTGGCAATTGAATCCACCTACTTTTACTTTGGTTGAACTTTTTGACTTCCTTTTTGACGTCAAAACAGCACATGCCTCAGTATCCGAATTATCCCCGATGAGTTTCTTCGGAAAGGGCTTCTTCGGGGATATTCAAGAATTAGATCAAAAAAAAAATTGAATGAGACATTCTGTGCAAGGAAGCCTGAAAGAGGAAGAAGATTTCAATACTGACCTTAGGGTTAGACCCGACGCAAGCCATTCATATGCCATAGATTTTATGTCACTGCAGATTACATTCATGTAGGTATGTCTTGGGGTCCCGATGATCATTGCTAAAGACGGTATCCCACACAAACGAAACCCCGGGAAATCCACGTACTTTGTACTTACGGCTGAACCATCGCCGTAACCAGGGCATCGGGAATGGCGTTCGGAAGGGAAAAGGCAACTTTAACGAGATCCTTCTGAGCCCGTACTATTCAAACTAGGCTTGAGCTCCAATCGGTCTCGAGGCTTAAGGCCAAAAAAGAAAAGAAAATGATGATGAAAGAAAAATGAAGGAAAAAAGAAAGAAAACTCATTGGACTTCCAAATGCAGACATAAGGCAATACGAAGTCTTCGTCCCTTGATCCACTTCCAATTTCTAATTCCCCATGGGTGGTTGCAGGATGGTTGCAGATTGCAGGGTGGTTGCAGGGTGGTTGCAGGGTGGTTGCAGGGTGGTCGGGGTGGTCGGGGTGGCCGGGGTGGCCGGGGTGGTCGGGGTGTTCGGGGTGGTCGTGGTCGGATAACATTCCTTTTCCGGTAATACACCGTCACAACCTCCCTCACCCCCAGGAATGAATTTGATCCCCACAAAAGCCACGAGCAAGATGAAGAAAGAAGAAAAAAGAAGCCCCCTTACGTAGCGAACAAACGCGACTACAGAGTACAACGTTGTTGAATTAGCGCGGTTTGATATATTGCTATCAACCCTAAAACGGTAAACCTAAGCCACTGGCGCACTTGGCAGTCCGTGAGAATTTCTTGTCGCATCCCCGCAACCCCACTAATGTGGCCCTTGGTCTCTGCTTGGCCCTACTTGGCTCTTCTCGGCCCCCACGGGTCGCAAGACTTGCCTATCCAATGTTGTAGCGCCGCCGATGTCACTCCAAACATTTCCCCTCTTGGCACTAACCCAATGGACACGAAGACCGAATGCACATAAGATACGGGAAATGTCCCCAGCGTCTGAGCTTTCATTTCCCCCCATGTTGTTTTGGTCTTTTCCTCTCTGCATCTCATAGAGGACGTTCATCATGTGGACCACAACTACCGGCTTGCGGGGCAAGAAGCTCCGTCTTGCCATCACCTTTACATCCGTCGTTGGATTCTCACTTTTCGGTTATGATCAGGGCTTGATGTCCGGTATCATCTCTGGTGACCAATTCACTAAGGAATTTCCTGCTCTCTATGGTGACAGCGAGCACGTCGCCGTCCTGCGTGGAGCGGTCACTGCCTGTTACGAACTTGGGTGTTTCTTCGGTGCTATCTTCACTTTGATTTATGGTCAACGCATTGGCCGCACTCCTCTCCTGGTGGCCGGTGGTCTTCTAATGATACTTGGTACTGTCATCTCTACTGCTGCATTCGGCCCTCACTGGGGATTGGGCCAGTTCGTTGTTGGACGTGTTATTTCCGGAATTGGAAATGGCATGGACACCGCGACTATCCCCGTCTGGCAGTCTGAGTGCTCGCGTGCTCATAATCGTGGTTTCCTTGTCTGCTTCGAGGGTGCTATCGTCGCCGTCGGTACCTTTGTCGCATACTGGATTGACTTCGGTCTCTCTTATGTCGACAGCTCTGTTCAGTGGCGGTTCCCTATCGCCTTCCAGATCCTGTTCGCCATTCTCGTCACTGTTGGTGCTCTTATGCTCCCCGAGTCGCCTCGTTGGTTCGTCATGCAGGGTCATGACCAGGAGGCCCTCCATGTCCTCGCCCAGCTTAATGGTAGTGATGTCGATGCGGATGATGTGCTTGCTGATTTCAACCTCATGAAGGCGGATCTTAAGGCAATGCAGAGCGTTGAAGAGAGCAGCTGGGGTATTCTCTTCACTGGCGGTAAGACTCAGAACTTCCAACGTTTGATGATCGGTTGCTCTGGTCAGTTCTTCCAGCAGTTCACTGGTTGCAACGCCGCTATCTACTACTCGACCCTACTCTTCCAGCAGAACTTGCATATGACCGGCAAGCTTCCCCTAGTTCTAGGAGGTGTTTTCGCCACTGTCTACGCTCTGGCCACTATTCCATCCTTCTTCATGATTGAGAGGGTCGGTCGCCGGAACCTCTTCTTGATTGGTTTCCTCGGCCAGGGTCTTAGTTTCATTATCACTATGGCTTGTCTCATTGACTCAAGCACGCAGAGCGCCAAGGGTGCCATCGTCGGTATCTTCTTGTTTATCTGCTTCTTCGCCTTTACTACGCTGCCTCTGCCCTGGATCTACCCCCCGGAAATCAACCCTCTTCGCACCCGTACCAAGGCCGCCTCCGCTTCCACCTGTATGAACTGGATCACCAACTTCGCTGTCGTCATGTTCACTCCTGTGTTCTCCAACAGGTCCGACTGGGGTATCTATCTGTTCTTCGCGCTTATTAACTTCATCGCCATCCCCTTCGCCTGGTTCTTCTACTGTGAGACCGCTGGTCGTGATCTCGAGGAAATTGACATCATCTTCGCAAAGGCCCACATTGAGGGCAAATGGCCCTATCAGGTCGCACAGCAGCTGCCTAAGCTCTCCATTGCCGAGATTACCCAGATGCAGAATGAGCTGGGTCTTGATACCCCCGACCACCAGGTCAACTCCGAAGCCGAGAAGGCTGAGACTGCCATGAGCAGCGGCAGTGAGACCAAGTACGACGAGTAAATGCTCCATCTGTCGCCCTTGGTTGATGTCGACCGAGAGACATTCGCTGTGCGAATGTGATTGATCATTTGCCTTGGATCTCATATTATCATGTGACCATAGAATCTCTATACCCCCCCTCCCCCCTGTCTGAAGGGAAAGCGGGCAGACTAGTATGTAAATAGTCCGCTTTGCAATCTCATTTTGTTCGATTTTCTCTAGATCTCATTTGATCTGAATACATATCCCACTATCAATGGTCTATCTAAATATCCTTGTCCCGAGTTTAAAAGGTGTATCGCATGAGTGCATCTCTGTCGATGCTCCTTCCTGCCCCTGTGGCCTGTAGATCAGATCAGCACAGTAGTATCTCAATGGGGATAGAAGTAAATCAAGCTTGCGACAGTTGAATGCAGAATTGGCCAATTCAACGAGACCTTTCATTGTAATTTAGATTCAACCTGGTGCACGATGCACACCGTGTTTGTCTGTATTGCAACTCATGCTTGACGAGGACCTCGGAAGCACCTGCAGATCAACTGTCGATTGGAAGAAATTGGAGAGTGGATCCATTGGAATATCTGTATCAGTACTTCAAACTGAGAAAAATTGCCTTGGCTTCGGCATGAACACGTCCCAAATGAGATATATTCCAAGGCCTAGGCTCCGAGCCGAGGTAGTTGTGACGACAATCCCAGACCGGAGATATACCAAAAGAAAACTTCCGTTCTCGCCACAACTTCTTGGATTCAACTTGAAGGAATGAACGGAATTAAAAATTAATTTAACAATTAACAATGATGTTCAACCAGACTAGTTCAAAAAAGAACCCGTCAATGCCCTAGCCTGCTGCAAACGTACTCTTTTTTCTCAGCGTCTCCCCAAACTTCCACAAAAACACTGGTGCCGGTGCTCCGATGACAATAGCCACGAATGCCAGCAAACTATTCCCCCATCCATATTTCAGAGCGCTATACATATACGGCGCGAAGAGTGGAAACCCAAACCCAGCCAATGAGCGCAGAAATGCACCAGCAGCGAGGGCACTAGCCGCAAACCGTGTATATGTATCAACCATGTAAGTCTGGATACACTGGAAGGCAATAATATTGCCAGTACCAAACAGCACAGCGCCGATGTTCGGGGCGATCCAATGGCAATGGTACTGAGCGGTCCAGCCGTAGATGAACAAGCCAGTGGGAATAAGAAAGGCACCGACGAAGAGCAATGGGATGCGGAACTCCGGTTTTCCAACACCCGCATTGCGGGCCTTGAGACGGCGATAGATGCGGTCGTTGAGCGGGGCGCAGATCTGCGAGCCGAGCCAAAAGCCCAGGCCAAGAGAGATGTAGTTCAGACCGCCAATACCGGTCGATTCGTTGTAGTATCTTGGGCTTGTCCATAGGGTGGGGAACGTTGAGAGCACCAGGTACATGATTCCATAGATGTAAGCCATGAAAAGGGCGAGGACCTGGACGATTGGCTGGGTGAGGAGAAGGCGAAAAGGACGGATTAGCGAGCTGCGCAGGACTTCGGGTAGGGTCTTGTTTTGGCGCTCGGTCTCTGTTTGGTAGGCTTCGTCGCCTGTTTCCTGGCGCAGGCGGATGGCGCGGTCGAGGAGGATTTTCGGGCCGTAGCTCTCGCGTAGAAAGAAGAGACCCATCACTTGGATCAGGCCGTCGGTGATTGAGGTTGCATAGAAGACCCAGCGCCAGGTTGTATTTTCCGCGATGAAGCCTCCGGCGATGGGGCCGAGGGCTGGGCCCAGGAGTGGTGCAAGACTGTATATTGCAATTCCCTTTCCGCGTTCTTCCGCCCGGAAACAGTCTGAGAGGACCCCGCCGCCGATCTAGATGCCGTTAGATATGAGGTTTTCTTTTTGGGACAAAACTTTCTGGCTTGGCTTACTGCTAGCGGGGCACTGCCTCCTAGTCCAGCGAAGAATCGGCAGACGATCATTTGAACTTTTGTTTGTGATACGGCACACCCAATGTTGAAAACTAGGAAGAAGAGGTTGGCGAGCTGCAGAACGATGGTTCGGCCGTAGATCTCTGACAGTGGCCCGAGGAATAATGGGCCAACAGCGTAGGCCAATACGAAGATTGAGAGCATTAGCTGCGAGACTACCTCATTCGTGACATTGAGGTCCGCTGCCAGTGATGGCAGTGCCGGGGCAACCATTGACGAAGAGACCGGTGAAATGAATGTGAAAAGTGACACAGTGATGACAGCAGCCCATTTCTTCTTTTGGCTCCAGTTTTTCGGGTTTTCGGGGTCTTCAGGGCCATCCCATGTTACCTATACAACTTTTAACACCGGGTGCAAATTGGGGAACAGGCAAGAGCTTACTAGTTTGGGGTTGTGACGAGACAGATTCGACCTCGCTGTCCTCGACTTCTCAAGTTCAGGCAGTGCAGCATCAGCTTTTTCTAGATCCAGATCACGCTCATTCACAATTCCATTCCGTACTTCCTGAATTGTATCGGGCTTCCGCTCATTTTCCATGCATGATTCATCATAGCTGGACCCATTGTCGCTGTGATATACAGACTGGTCATTGAGATGTTGTCCCGAATAAACTCGATCCACCTGGGTCATTCCTGGGATTGACAAAGAACGTAGCCTAGTCCTCAGAGAACCAGCCAAGCTCTGAGATTGTGACTGCGTTCTTGATGCCAGAGACTTGGACTCGGTACTTGATCTTGATGTCGACCGTGGTCTGGTCGAGCCGGGTTCTTCAGGGCCCGACATGATCGATCTTCATGGAACCAATTCACAATAGTTGGAGAAATCAATAAAATCGATTTATGTTCAGCCAATTAATTAGGCACGCGACACTGGGTCTCAAAAAAAAAAAATTCCAAAAACTGCAACAGGGGGAAACGTTTATTATCAAGTTAGTAGCCACATTGAAAAAAACAACAGGCCCACAAGCGACATAATCCAACATTTCGAACGGCGATAAGGCAAAAACAGGGCCTTAACACCGTCCGACGAAAACCCACAGGGTCTCTCCATTTTGCAATATTGAGCATAGTGATTGGCTGGTATTTAAAGCTTGACATGAAGAGAGTGGCTAGTAACCAGATCCCCATTTGCCAAATTTTCCCGACCGGCCTGACCCGCCTCACTAGGCCTGGAATGCAGGCATTTGTGGTTCCGCTTGCAGCCTCAGGTGTTGAATTTCGGGTCTTCGGCACTCTGGTCACGTGTTATTATTGATCGCCAAAGCCACCTACCGCATTGGGTGGTGGGTTCCCCCCGGGTTTCAGATGAGATAAAACATGCTTCCCTAATCAGGCCGAGGGAAGTCACTCATTTTACTATCAAGTTGTGCAATTTTAAATTCTCTAGGAGATCTCGATGAAGGCCCGATTAGGATTCGAGATTTGGGAAGTTTTAGGTGCTCTGTCCAGTTTTTATCTAGCGGCATAGAAATTTCGGGATACCTTTAATTGGCTGACACTTGTGTTGGTCCATAACCGTGGAGTTGCCCATCCTCAACTCGCTGAGGGAGTTGCTGGTGACGTTACTGATATGCACGCGAGTGCTTTCTGATATCCGATTATTTTCGATGGTCCGATGTATGTTGTACGTCGCAGTGCTCTTAGTCTAGACCGCCATTTTATCGTGCGTGGCTACTGCCTAAATCTTACTTGTTTTGGTATCTACCATTCTGAGAGGACTACAACATAAAGCTACGCTAACTCATTGGACTTTTTGCAATTACCGACATCCAAACAAATTTCCCAAAGTCCGTCAGCACTGACCCAAAGGTGCGTTGCACTGTATCTAGCAATATATCCGAGTGAGGGTGATATTTTGCCAGCCTGAGTAGTGTTATTTGATATGCTAATTGGGTGAAATCTGGAGTGAATTAGTTGTCAAAAATATCATATTTGCTGTCTAGTTGTCATGTCGAAACCGTTGGTATGACATAGTTGAGAACGGGGTGGAATACCCTGAAAAATCTACGGACCGCCATGATAGTGCGACCTACACAAGTTATAGGTTATATTTAGTCAGCGTGGTCCGTATAGATTGGAAAAAGAGCGGATTTTGCTAATTAGTTAAAGAGAACTTGGAGCATGTTCGGCCTATCTACTCCGTACTGGTCGTCCCATTTGAAGCCATAGATTTCTGTCATGTCAAACTCCAACTTCAGATGGGTACATTCAGATCCAGCCGTGAGGACAATTTCACGCTCACATGGCTAGTCTGATCGTGGACTGATTGAAGACCGGACTCGGTATTTTCTACAAAGATTCCGTAAAAGCCGGTGCTTGAATTCTGTGTTTAACGATGCTGCATGAGGAGACACACCCTCAATGCCGACTGTCAACAGCTACTGGGACTACCCCTACGAAGGATGCTCCTGTCACCTCTTTTTCAATTGGAAATGCGTTGTTGCGCAGCCTATCCATGCTGCCTGGCTGGCTATGATGCCGAGTCTTAAGAGTTTCTCAGTCACTACATGGCCACAACGGCCGACTGCATGGCGAATGGATTTACGCCTGTCAACCCCTTTCTGGTACAGATTGTACCCCTGGCATTTTCTAGCGACTTGCTGTTGCAGCTGGTAATCACCCCAAGCGCCGCTCACTGCGCGTTTCGATCTCGGGATGAAACGGATGCAATTGCCCATGGTCACTACACAAAAGTCCTCCAGCATTTCCGTCGTGCAGAAATGGAATCTATCGACGGAAAAGAATCGAACCCTCTCATGCTCCTAGTAGGGCCACTTCTAATGTGTTTTTACTGAGGTAAGAAATCCATAATTCAAAAACAGTTTGTTCAATAATCCAATAAACCCAGATAGCAAAGGGCGACATGAACGGGACAATATGTAACCAGTGGTCCGCCGCGAACTCTCTTCTAGTCAACTTATTTTCCCAGAGCGACTCGGCAGTTCCACGAGACTTGAAGGATTTCGTCATCGAGTACTACACCTACACTGCGACCGTCAGCACGATCTCAATCGTCGCTTGCTTTAGCGGGCAGCTTTTCTTACACTTGGATTTGGAACATGGTCGCGCGAATCACTTCGGACCCAGTATTTGGGCAACTTGTGCAGTTGCCGGCCGGAACTATTGTTGCTGATCCTGTGCATCTTCAGTCTCGGCCGACAATGGATCATGGATGAGACGCAGGCAGTTATTCCAACAGCTGATGATATTACCATGTTTGCATCCATCCAAACACAGGTAATACGCTGGTCGCCTTATCCCAATGTCGGGACGGAAGTCCGTCTGGCTGGATTTATCTTCCAAGAAGCCATACTCATCTATCTATACACCGCCCTAGGTGGTTTCCAATACACCAGGGACGGACTTCATAAAGGCATGGTGGTAAATGCAGTGGTAGAAGCCATGTCATACCTGAATGAGCTGCCATCTAGTGCGCGCATCAACTCCGGCCTATGTTGGCCGATCGCTGTCGTGGGCTCATGCCTTCTCGATCCCAACCAACAGGACTGCCTGCGAGGACGATTGAATGCTAGGATCGAGGAATCTGGTCTTGGAAATATGCATCGAACACTTCTACTTCTCGAAGCAATGTGGCGGTCACCCCTTTTCGGTGCCGGGCCCTGGAATATTTGTCGAGCAATGCAGGAAAACCAAGTATAAATATCATTTGCGTGATGGAAGCATTGTGCTCAAAGAAAATCTGAAAATACCAGTTGTAGACTTTTGATATTCAGAATACTACCCCTAAGAAACAATGACATATTAATCCACGACTATCTCGGTTAACTATAGGGAGTTGAAGCAATATATATTGAAATTGTTTGAGTTTGCAACTTGCTGTTGAGCGTTGCCAATTAAATTGATTTCATTACTGAGCATTCAGATACTAGTTCTGAATCCACGATTTTTCTTTCATGCAAATCAGAAATTGCTCTTCGTATGCCTGTTTCATCTTGACCGGTTCAAATTTATCAGTTTATCAATCATATCAAGGAAAGAGGAGACAGGAAATCTGTTCGGTCCATAGTGAGCCAATTTAGGATATTTCCCATGAATATAAAAAAAAAAACACTCAGCATGGAACAAGGCCCTTACACCTCTCACAACCAAGTAAGTCTTCCATATTCAATCCTTAATTCAGAGGCTATAAGGGTAGACTTGGTGGAAGGCGCTTCGGCTCTTTGGGCTTTTAAATTCCAGGGTGCTTTAGGCCGCCCACGTGATGATGGGCAGAAACGCCGGGGCTAATCCGGGGGATTGATTGCCAGCATGTGGACTCGTGTGTATGTACATCGGAACCATCAATTCATAAAGGCATTTGGTTCGCAAAGCCAGTGCAATGGCTTCGAACATTCCTCTCCCTCTTCCGCCGCGCACCCCTACTCCGCTAGCGGACGAGGAGAATGCCTCCCAGATCAACTCAGGGATACCCATCGATCGCGATTCCCTATCGCCGCTTAAGGCCTCCTTTCCGATGGATGCCGAAGGCAGAGATATAGTGAGCCCCGCGAAATCCTCTTTCAATTTGGCAACCTCGCCTGAAGACGCAGAGACGCCGATCGAGAATGGCTCGAGCGACACGTCACCCGCCGGGCCATTCAATTTCAATACTACTGTTATGGCGAAAAGTCCAGTGATCAAATCGGTGAGTTAAATTGCGCCGATGACTTGCGGTGGTGGGGGTGCTGACCTTTTCCCTCCTTGTTCAGAACATGGGACAGCGTCGTGGCCACAAATACAAGCACAGTAGCATCTCGCACCAGATCTTCCTCGAGCCTCCTCCTCGCGCGCCCCTAGCCCTCCCAAACTCCCTGCCCATGCCAACACTGAAAGAATGCCGATCTAGCATGTCGAAGGATCAAAAGACCCGCTTCTGGTGGAGCTTATGCCACATGGTCGTTGCGGCGTACACGCTCTGGACCGCACATGGGTCCCTGGCCATGACAGCATTATCGCATTTGATTCTATTTGATTCGCTCGGGGCTCTCTTGTGTGTTGCAGTTGATGTGTTGGGCAATTTTGAAGTTTGGAAGAGATCGACTATCCGCCACCCGTTCGGCCTGGAGCGTGCAGAAGTTCTAGCCGGATTCGCAATGGCTGTGCTTCTTTTGTTCATGGGATTAGATCTCATCTCCCACAGTCTGCAGCATTTTCTTGAAAAGGCTGGCCATGAGCCTCATCGCCCGCATGATCATGATCGGATTTCTCTGGGTAGTGTGGATGTGACTGCAGCTCTAGCTATTTCATCGACACTTGTGTCAGCCATTGGTCTCAAAAACCATGCTCGAATTGGGAAGGCTATGCGATTTGGGTATATTAAATCTCTTCCGTCGGTCTTGAGCAACCCGTCTCACTTCCTCACCCTCTCTTGTTCAACTCTGCTGCTACTTTTACCACTGGTCTCAATCCGGATCTATGATTGGCTCGATAAGCTCTTGTCTGGTACCATTGCCTTATCAATGTGCTTCCTAGGAACTCGCTTGGTGAAGACTCTAGGATCCATGCTTCTCATGTCCTACTCCGGCCAAGGAGTTTCCGATGTGATCAAGGACATTGAAGCCGACGCTGCTGTATTCGGCATTGATGACGCCCGATTCTGGCAGGTTCATTATGGGCTATGTATGGCAAACCTCAAGCTCCGAGTCAATGGTTCTGATGACAATCTTGTCCGGCTACGGGAGAAGATATCCAGCTTAATTCGCAACAGGTTGGGTGGTGGGTATGGCGCCGGGGGTCAAAAATGGGAGGTCTCTTTGCAATTCACGATTGAGCGTGCATGATCGATTCGATTTCGATGACTGATGTTTTGTCTGATCAACCATGCAATGTCTTCTTAATTCTAAGGGACACCCCTGTATATTACGAATGGTTTTCTCCTAATCAACATAACTGCTTTCAAGTTCAAAAATCAGTGCTCGGGGCTATCCAGCTCATGAATGTTCAGCAGCATGTAGGAACTAAACGCAACTCTCATGATACTGCTCTCAGGTCAATTTTGCACACCCTTCACATTCTATTAGGACATGCCTTGGTACAGCCCAGATGATATAGTAGTCGAGAGCAATGTCAAAATTTTGTCTTAATGAGGCAATCGCCCCTGGGTTCGTTTCTCTTGGTACTGTTGAAGTCCATGGTCCAATTACCTGTTGAGCCATGTACTGTTGAGAACATGTCTCCCCCACCTTTCATGTTATTCCCCTTCGTTGCCTACAAATCCGAGAAGAAATTGGAAACACGAGATCTTAATTGGAATTGAATCGAGTCTGAGTTTCTTGGTGAGAACAAGCTGCAAATTCGATGTTTCCGAGCAGTAGGAAACATTGCGCTGCAAGGTCTAGTATCACGGGAATTGTAGCCTTGAATGTACTCGTAATCCCACAAAGATCTCCGTGAATCAAATCCAGGTGAGAATACACAAGAGAAAACAGACAGCAAAAGAACGTCACGCCTTCTAGGGGAACCCCTCACAAGCCAGCTTGAAGGAGACAAACCCAGGCTCGAGGATGTCAGGGATACACTGCCCCTCGGCGAAGGGGCCGTGGTGGAAAGGCAGGAAGTGCACAGGATCGCCAGAGCAGCCCTCGTTGTTCCAAATGGTCACGCCATGGCAAAAGACAGTGTCCTCGGTGTCCAAACGAGCGCGGAAGGAATAATTGTCAATGCTCCAGTCACGGTTGACGGTGGTCTTGTCGCAAGTCACGGGAGTGACGCTCACATCAGCAGAGAACTTGGGCTCGCCGAATGCGGGATGGCCAACATCACACCTCTCCCAGGACTGGAAACTGACGCTTGCAACCGGGAAGCCGGCGTAGACACTCAGGGCGAAGGTGGCCGCGGTGGCCAGGGTCTATGCTGTGTAAGCAACTTGGATACACCAATGCATGTGATGGGTGGAACTACCTTAGAGAAGTGCATCTTGGTCAATGATTGTGGTTGTTTGGTAAAGAAAGTGAGTCTCCGGTTAGGAAAGGCGTTAAAGAGAGTGTCGATGGCGGAATACTTAGTTTGAGGAATATAACTGCGTTTTATGCGTGGTATTTAAGAAGCAACGGCATGCGAGGGTCATCGTAGTTGGGTAAACACAGTCTCAAAACACATACTTGAAGAGTATGTGGAATGTAGGAGTTCAATCGAGTATTTCGTAATATTGCCAAAAAGAAAAAGGGAGCAATGATCCTAGAGGGAAGGGAGAAAGGGTTAGAATGGCAGATCAAAACAGTCTAGGCAGGTAAATGTTGATCTCTTTAAAGAAGTACAGGTTTTACCAAAGGGCCAGATCATCTCTTCATTGGAGCTGCAATTGAGTAAATCTCATCTGATTCCATATAATCGTCAATTGGGCTGAACTGAGACCTGTTTTATATTAGGGTGGGCTATCTAGTAAGCCAGTTGTGCACCCCCAGCTCCAGCAGCACACATATCAACTGCGAAGGATGAGCAACAAGAGAACGAATCCATGATATGAGCATCAAATTAAAGTACCGTGTGTTCATATTTCTCGAGAAGGCCTCGCCACTAAAGGGGAAAAAAAAGTACGGTGACAAGACAAGGCACAAACAATGTTTAGACGTTGGCATCCTGCTCTATTGGATGCGGCTGAAAGTCGAATTTGATCCTATTTAAGGGGCATCGATGGCAGGGGGCTCCGAAGTTTTAAAGACAAGCTTTTGCACTGGAACTGGATTTGAAACATTCATCTGTACAATCTACAATAAATCCATATCCTTCCGATGCAAGAGGGAGAATATTATGGTCTTGTAATGTAGATGTCTGTTAGACCGTTTATTGCCGATATTCTATCCAATTCCCAAGGAGGTTGATAGATACATGGGATGTAGATAGGTACGTAGGTAGCTTGGAATCTCCGTGAATGCTTCTTAATACGTGATTAGCTAGAAAATCGCCATGCAGTTAGGCGGACTAGACACCCCCCGGGCGCAGTTCAATGGACTGCTAGAGATAAAGAAACTCCAACGACCCAAACGCTTGCATGTCGCAGCCAATTCCTCCAAATCAAACATCTCCCCAATTGGAATACCCCAGCCGGCCAGAATATGATGATGCAAGTCAAATTCAGGGTTCAGAGCCGGATAAACCTCAAAGCTAACGGCATCGGACGCAACAGCCGCAAAATGATTATCCCATAAAAAGCGTAGCACCCGCTCACTCTGTTCGATTCCAGCGTGCTGCGGTATACTTTGCTGACTATAAGCCACACGATCTTCGGCCGACATCCGCTTCCACGTCTCAGGCAAGCCAACCCGCAAGAAGAAGATATCGCCCTTCTGAAATTTGATGCTGCATTCGTGCGCAATCTCCTGCACCTCGTCAAGTGAGATCATCTGCCGACTTAGCGCGTTTACGCTAATGCCCTTCTTCGCCGCATAGGAGACGTAGTCGATTAGCACGCCGCGCCCAGCAATGCCCTTCTTTGCCCAAAACCCGATGCCAATTCGGGACGAGGTCTCGTCTAGAATTTCCTTTGCGGTCGTGCCGCCATAGAAGAGGCGTCGGTCTTGGTCTTCTGGCGTTGGGGCAGGCGCACTGTGGTGCCGGAGCCCGTCCCACTGGGAGGACTGCTGTGGGTTGAAGTGGTACTCGTCGTCGAAAGCGACGCCCTCGATGACCCATTTGACACGGTGCTCGAATGGTTTGCGGCCGAACCCTAGTTTCTCAAGGTGTGAGTCTTATAGCGTCTTATTTAATTGGACCATCGGGTGCCCTTATTTTACCTGGTGGGCTCAAATTGTCCATGTTCCAGTTTAAGCACACTCGCTCGCCGGACTGGATTTGTGTTCGCGCGGCTTGAGCAACTAGCTCGGGTGTTAGAAGGCGGAGCATTCCCAGTCCTTCTTCTTCCGACCCTGCAGCCCCAGGCCAGAACCGACGCTTGTCGGGGAGATCATCAAATGTCTCTGGGAGATGGGGAATGCCAGACATGATTCGGAATAGAGTGGATCGGAGAAGCAGATTAGCTGAACGACTTCAAAGCTTGATGAACTGTGTCCTGAAATCCACTTCAAGACGCTGGATCGGTTGAGTAGGAGTAGGATACCCCTCGCCTCGGAGGAAGTCCGGCCCCTTGACGTGAGTATGACCCCCAGGTCATCGCCAATTTGGTCGAATCAAGCGGAAAGCCTAAATCGTCTTCTGCCTGTCCAGGGATTGACTCAATTTCGTGCGGCTTGGAACTCAGAAGTTGACATGTAGCGGATCTCTGAGTAGAGTAAAGTAGCCAGTCTGATCCTAACAAAGAGGAGATACCACCTGGGTTGACTTGATCTTACCGGCAGAGCTGATGCTGATGTACGTTCTAGTGCAAAGGAAGCAAATGCAGCCCAGTGTCAAGTTCTATCACAGTTCCCTCCTTCCGACTACACACGACCCTTTCACATCCCATCCACGCCTGCGTACAATGGTAGCCGAATGAGGTAATCGAATTCACGTCTGGAAGGCGCGAGGTCCCCGATGAACCCCCACTCTGCTTGATCAGCCCTCCACGTTCATGGAGTTAGTGTGAACGTGAGATGCAATTCTCCTATTTTACCCACATATTTTGGAATCAAAGGTCCATCTTGTATGCATATAAAGGCTATTGAAGGTAAAGAGTGAAGTACAGGGTGATCGCCAGAAGAGCACAGCAAGCAAAAAAATTACATATCATCCAGGTCATCATTAGCGTTTGAGTCACCCTGTTGCATATCCGTCATCTCATACTCTTCCTTTCGGGTCGAAGACCCAGCACGCTCCCCAGCCGACATAGCAATCGCCTGACGGCCTGTGTCGGACGATTCGAGGAACTCGCGCAGGCGGCGCTTGCCTTCTTCCAGAGCCTGCTGGGAGGCGGCCTCGGTCATCTTCAGCATGGGACCCCACAGGTTGAGCTGGTAGGTGATGTATGCGCCAATGGCAAACGCAAATAGCAGGATAAAGTAGACAGGGTTGCGCAAGACTAGAGAGCGTGTCAGTACTAATGCGAAAAGGAAGTGGTCATCAATGAAAACTCACCAGCCCAGATTTCATTCCAACCTAAAGCCAGCAACAGCCCGTAGAAGTACAAGGGAACCTGTGTTATACCGCCGATGGCACTCCGCTTGGCCTCGACGTAGACACCGTCCGCGGCCTTCTTAAATCGCACAGTGAGCTCTTGGCGCTTCGTATCGCTAAGAATTGTCATCTCTTCTTCCAAACTCTTGCCCTCGTGTTCGTCCACACCCCCGATGGGGACCAGATCCTCCTCGTCCGCAGTTGTTGCGGTGCTTGGTGTGGTTCCAATCCATTGGTCAAGCGGGGGTGGGGCAGTAGTCCTTTCCAGGCGGAAACGAGACAGAAGAGGAATCACCGTCAAGGTAGATTCGCGAGCACGGGTGTAAATGCCCTCGATATCATCAGTGGGGCGCCAGATGCGTGGCACACCAGCTTCGTTATAGCGGAACTTGTCCTCGAAGTTCTCGCGAAGCTTGAGAAGTAAATTGCCCTCAAGCATCTCCTCTTCAATCTTGGCGCGGAGAACACCCCAAGACTTACGGCGCAGTCGCCAAAGACCAACATCAACCTCATCATTACTAGCATCGAAGCTGCTCGCACGGTCCGTGAATCTCCGCTCAGCGTCTAGGACGGTTTCTTCAAACAAGTTCCAGATCCGATCCCAGAAGTCCTTCTCGGTAGGCTTCTCCCCGTTCTCGGGAGCACCACCGCCAGCTCTTCCGGACCCGAGGGCACTGAACTCAAGGCCAACAGATTCACCGAGACGAGATTGGACCCACCGCTCGATGCGGGTGGCCAGACGTCTCATTTCATCGCGGCGCAGGCGGGCACTGACCTCTGCCAATTCTTTTTTGTACAAAGATAGCTCTTGCTCGTAGTTACTCCAAGAAGCTCCATCCACCAATGTAGAGCTGGCGACCTCCTCGAACTTCTCCAAGGAAGACTGAGCCTCCTTGGTGACAATTTCGGCGAAATCGTAGCTACCGCCCTTCTTCTGGCCATCCTTCACAGCAGCACTGACTGAGTCACTGAAATCGCGAATTCCAGATTTATGAGCTGCCGATAGCTGGCCGTGGAAAAGTGCCTTGAGGCGGGTATCGACCTTGCCCTGAAGCTCAGCGCTTTTCCGTTGGTAAACACCCTTGTGGTATCGGCTGGCTGCCGTCTCAAAGCTCTTCAAGGTCTTGACGCGCGCAGCACGCATGGCAACGCCGAGCCCCCCTAGGACTTCAGGCGCACCAGCGCGCACGGACTCGGCCTGCTTATCTTCAAACGCGATGATCGCCTCATCGAAGCCGATCATTACCTCGCGCAAAATCTCGTCACAGCGAAATTGGGCAAGCAACTCCTGCTGTGTGGGCAAATCCAAGTCCTTGTTGTTGACAATTTGATCCCAAACTCCCTCCGCATAATGTGAGAATCCGTCAGCCGGGATGCGGCGATGGTACTCAGGGAGGAAGACCCCTCCTTCAGAGAACTCACCCTTAAGGGCATCCCTCGTTGGGTCTCGGTGACCTTCCCGGAAACGCAGGCCAAGCTTCTTTGTCTCCGCCGCAAACTGGTCCGGTTGATAACCTTTATGCGGCAGTCCATAGAATTGGAAATCAAAGTAATTATGAATTGTCGACTTCTCCAAGCCTGCAGGTTTCGATATAGTGTCCCAGAGACGGGAGAGGTCTTCCAACAATGTCTTCTGCAGGTTCTTGAGTGGTGTAGTACCGATGAAATCACGAATGACAAAGAATAGGAGGGACCGATGGGTGGCACTGGCACTGTGGATAGATCAGCATCCAAAGCACATGGATAAGGGGACGAGTAAAAGGATACATACTGTTTGTCCTTTAGGAACAGTTGTAAGTTCACTTCAAACACGGTCTTCAACAACCCCATGTTGGCGCCCTGATACAACCCCACCTGGTGTTCCCAGATGTTGACGATGATAACCTCGCTTGTCGCAAGCGCAAAGAGCGCACTCTTGCGCTCAAAATCCTGATCCTCGCCTCTCTCGCGACCGTCAGCTCCCTCCACGTCCATGACCAAGATGTTATCAGCCATGCGCTCCGCCGCGCCAGCTTCGCCCTGCTTCTTGTTGTTCGACAGCCAGATACCCTTCGTCGTTTGCCTTCTCTCCAGCTCCGACATCACGGAGAACTCGGTACCGAACAAGCTATTAAGCAGTGTGGACTTTCCGGTGGATTGCGAACCAAACACGGAGATGAGATGGTAATTGAAACCAGCCGTCGTGACGTTCTCAAGGGACAAGTATTTAGACAAATTGGGACTATATTCATAATTAGATGGGCCATAGCAGAGGGAGATGGCCATCCATACTTGAACTCCTTGTTCCCATCAATCACCTGCACGCCGTGCTCATAGGAGGCAGAATCGCATTCGGCGCCGACTGAAGCAAAGTGTCCATTTGAGAGAATCGGTGGCGCAGTTGGACTCCTTTCCAACCCCGATGGGCGTCGTTCGATCATTTTTTTCCTCCTCTGGTCTGTTTCTGTTGGGGTAGGGGAGGGGGGAGAGGTATTGAGGTGGCAAGAGCAAGTTGAGACAGCAGGGATGTACTAAGATCTAGAGAACCACGCAACTGGAAAAACCAACAGATTAGTCAAACGGGAAAATCAAAAGAATTCAGGGATCATACGTTCGCTTCGCGGGTTCATTGGGATGATCACTCCCGAGGTCGATGCTGGGGAAAACAATCTTACATAAACCCCCCTTTTAGCCCCCCGGGCAACGTCACTTCTACCACTTTTGATTTGGTTTCTAGCTGTTTTAATTTATTTGATCCTATTTTACCAACAGGAAATCGAAATTGCACTTCTCCTGACTGAATAAATCTATCTCAATATTTCCATGTTTCGGTAATTACAGATTCAAACCGGTCAAGTGAAGTCACAAGGGTCTCTAAAATTCATGGCGGTGGCACACCATCTGACCAGTTCAGATTCCAGCCCTGATCAAGTCCGAGGTCAACACTAAAGTTCGGCCACATATACTGTCCAAAATCATCGAACAGTCCACTAAACGCTTTGAGCTCCAGGCCAACATGTGGGTTTGTCACAGTTTCACTCCTCGAAAGCCATGACTCGTCTGGAAATCCAGGCGCTATCGTGGGTGTGAGGGAGGCACCCCCCAAGACATGAGTGCTGGTAGTTGGTGCACCTTCAGGGTCAGACATCGGCGGCGTATAGAGCTGACTAGGACATTGTCCCGGGCAAGAAGCCTCCGGCCCCATTGTGCCTGATACTGCTGATCTCTGCTCTTTGCTTTTGGGATGGCCCTTGGAGAACTTTGATCCTGCGCCGACAGTTATAGTACCAAAATAGGGCACTGTAATTTTGCAACTCGAGATGCAGCTCCAATCGGGCTTGAAATCTTTGCTGTCGTGGATGGTGCCGAGGATGTGCGCAGACTCGGCAGCAACCGAGCCCCCTAGCTCTGTTGCTGCTTGACGAAGGATCTCAATGACTTTCCCAGTCTTGCTCATCTTGCTCTTTGCTGTGAGCTGGATCCTCATCGGAATAGCCTTGCAGGTGGATGATCAAAAGAAGACACAGCGTGAAGGCCATAAAGTCAATCATTTTGCACAAATAGGGCTTGATATTGGATCGGAGGACCTTGTATAAAACGAGTCCTTCCCTTGCGGATTGAATGGCGATCGCGTGGCAGGGACGGAATCGACGATCGTGGGGAGATTGCAGCATTAGGGGGAGATGGAGAAGAGCACGCAGCAGCTTGAACATGAATTGCAATGGGACTCTCTCAACATAGTGTTCCCGTTTCTCATCCTGACAAGGCTCTGCGGCTTGGAAGTGACTTGGCATAGATTCCCAAGAATCCTGCAGCTCTTGGTCCAGTCGCAACGTTGCTGCGAGAGTCATCTTGGAAGGGTCTTGGTTTCGATCAACCATATGTCCTGTGATACTTCCAATACGCAACAGGTATTCCTCGGGAGCCGACAATTTTGAATTGAGACGTTGCTCCATCTGGGGCAAAAAGAATGGGTCGCTGATACCATAAGGCAGGCCAAGAATCAAACTCAGGAATCGATCCGAAGTTGCCAGAGAACACCAAATTTTCAAGCGCCTCTCATATAAAGAGTCGCCCGGCCTTGGAACCTTGGTGGACAGATGCATTCCAGCTAAGTGGGCAAACTCGATTGCTCGACGGATCACCAGCCAACCTTTCCGGAGCCGGCCATCAGTCAAGTGAACCCTATAGAGCAACATCTGACATTCTATACCAGGCAGGGTAGCCGCGAAGTTGTCATCGCGGGCGATTAAACGGTCCACCATCTCAATGCATTGATCGGAGAATTTTTGAGGCTCAAAGGGTACGGTTAAAGTACCAAAGTCAAAATCACCCGGGGCAAGAGTCGCACTGATACATAGGCACATTAGCGCCTTAGCAACTTCGGCGGGAGCCACAAGATCATCGCGACAATTTTCCTTTAAAACGAGTCTGTCGGCATGTTGATCGAACAGCTCTGGGAGATGGTCCTGCCACACGAACCAATGGAAGGACGCGTTGATTATTTTATTTATATCATCTGCGGGAGGAAGAAGAGACATGAGTTCTGCACGTACTGCTTCGGCCTTTGGCGACATGTCCTGAACACCGGCGAATTTATCATTATTGGACGAGTCCTCTTGGCGGCTCACGAGATAGTTGTCAAACAGTTGTAGTATCGGCGCATTGCAAATCTGGTCACTGGATGGGCCTAGTTCGTCTGGCTCGGTTGCCAGTGGCCTTGAATGTGCTTTTATACCGTCCGCTAGGTAATGTCAGCCACGCCATATCAAATCGCATGCATCTGGGAGATACCAACAATGACTTATCCCACGTTGCTCACAAGACGAAGTATTAGAGTTCCGTTGGTCTAGTCGCTTGGTCAACCCCTCCACAAGGTTCTCCAGGTGCGCAACTCGTTCGCGGAGACTGTATGGCTGTTCGCCAGGTTGAGAGTTCCGCTGGTAGCCGGATGACGGAGGGGTAATCACCGCATGTTCTTGATCAACGCAGCTCATGCCTCTGGACCGACACTCATTACACATTGCGGGACGGTCCGGGTGAAATGTGCACCGAATCTTGCGTCGCCGACCTAAAATAAACGCCATTAGCGTAAGCATACCAAACATAAATTCTTTGACCCGTACACTCTGTGCAACTTCTGGTCCCCTTTCGCATTCGCTTCCGCGCCGGTTCTTGATCCGTCCAGAACTCCATCTTAATTCATACAGCAAAAAAACTAAGATAAGATCATATGTCCACCGACGTTGTGTTGCTAAGAAAAGTTGATCAGATCAGTGACCGTTGTAGGTTAGGCGGCATCGTCCTTGGGCGAGGAACAATCTGGAAGGTAAGACAAGATAACAGAGAAAGGGGTGCAACAGCTTCAAAAGTCAAGGCACCCCTGAAGCTCAAACTAGTGCTACGTAATCTCAAACAAAAGAACAAAGAGGAAGTCCGCAGTCGTTGGATAGTTCTCATAGATGTTCGTCCGTCAAGTTCGGCCGAAGTGGTGCGATATTTCACCCGGGCCAATCAGATGCTACACGCTTCTTCCGTAACGTCCGTCTTGCCGTGTGACACCACACACTCCACCATCTATGTGACCGTGTTGAGGATCTCTTACAATGCCATTTATTCTATGATCAACAGTTCGATCACCCCTTGTAATACACCTCTATTCAGCTCAATCCGCTTCAGTCGGTCTACCAAGCACCTAGAGGCTGCCTTTAGTTTGGTAGTTCTGCCGCCAGTTGCATATATTTCTACAAGAAAGCAATTGTTATGGGTCATCGATCAATTAAAAAAAAATTCTGACAGTGGAAAAAAAAAGGTCATTCGGTAACATCTTGAGCTTGCAAGAGAATCGCAGCAATTGTCCCACTACCCGGCCATAGGACCAAGATCATCTCGATACTTCATGGTAGAGTATGAGAATGCCAGATCCCCCCCGCAGAAAAACACAAATAACTGAGAAAGCGCTACGCATGCGCCCATGGTTTTTACCATTTTGTATGGTGTGGGCCTTTGGTTTAGTTTCCCCGGTGTTGTTTCTGGAGCTCTTCCCAACATGTGTAATTAAATCATCCTTGTGTTGCGTTTCTCCGTTTCTTTTTACGGGGATTCGAGGTTAATACTGGGTAGAAACCTAGGAATGACAGCACCCATGAAAGTGACCACGGGCTAAAAAAGTAACAGTGAATGAATTGTTATATGAACTATGCCCAGATAAATGAAAGGGCCTAAAAATAGGGAAACATGGCTATGTGGAACTAAAGGCCCAAAGGGAGGTCTCAACACCCCTATTCCTTGTATTGTATGCTCATAATCACTACGATGCGCGCCCTAAAGTTAACCCGAAAGGACTCATTAAAGGGTGTAAATCAACGTTAATGACTTAGCGAAACTAACTGCAACTTGGTCATGGGAATATTGCAAGGCCGCGAAGAGGTAGAGATCTGGAATGCTTGATATGCGGATCACGGCGTAAATTTATCAGTTCCAGAACTCCTCGCATCCCGCATCGGAGAAGAAACTCCGCGATGCTGTACTAGTACTAGTGTGCCGCTATTTAGAAGCGAGGGGCCATCGAGGCCTCTGGACACATGCAAAGACTAAGAGTAAAGAAGCAGCATTTCACTATGATGGCCTAGCATTTAGGTAGCAGAAGTATGCTAGGGTAGCATCACATAGTAGAGTTGCTACGAAGTGCTGTAGGCCAAGGTGCCACAGCACCGTAAATCAGCACCGGAATCCTCGTAGTGCTACTGCCCTGGAGCACTTGTCAAAGACTAGCTCCATCTAGCCCCGTCTAGTGTCCGATAATAGCCAATAAATTGAACTTGATCCTTTTTGGAGGAGAAAGGACGAGGATTAGGAACAGTGAAAGATCTTGTGTCCCCACAACAAGGTATCTATTAATCCGAGCCGAACTCCTCGACGAATGCCACATTTAGTAGTTTCTTTCTGAAGCAGGCTGTGGTACAACACTTTTCAGACAACGTATCCCTTGCACAAACTTGCGTATTGAACCAGCACTTTTTGGAGGCTTCGTGATGATGTCTGAAAATGACCGTGTTTGGTGAAATTGAGAAAACATACATTTGCATGTAATTCAACCAGACATGTGCGTAGCTTCTAGATTCGTTCTTTTAATGCAATAGACCAAATGAAGACCGGGCTACCAAATATCATGCACAAGTTGACTTGGACTTGGACATAGATTATATATGAGCCTCTAAGTGGAATTGGGTCGGAATACATTTTTCATGAGAGTGGAGAAAGGGAAGGAAATCTGACTACATCTCCAAGACAGTAGAGGTACATGAACAAGGGTCAAGCGAAAACTCCGGTTTACCCCCGGATCCCTCGTGCTGATCGATGATTCCCACGCTGTGGAATAAAAGGTGCCAAAACAAACATGATTTTTAAAGAAAAGGGGTTCATAATACAAGGGTCAGACAGTTCACCTGCCTGACCATGGATGTGAGCAGATCATTTACTCGACGACACGGGTAATCAGACCAGTGGCGACGGTGCGGCCACCCTCACGGATGTTGAAACGCTGGCCGGGCTCGGCAGCAACAGGGTGGTGGGTCTTGAGGACCATCTCAACGTTGTCACCGGGTTGGACACGTCTAGTCATGTCGCCATCAGGGAAGCTGAGATCACCAGCCTCATCTAGAGCATAGTTAGCATCCCCTGTATCGATTTGATATCAGATCAGATCAGTGGAAATCGAACTTACCAGCAGTACGGATGTAGACCTGAGGGCGGTAGTTGGCACCGAAACCAGTCCGGCGACCACCCTCAGCCTCGGTCAAAACGTACATGGACACGAGGAACTTGTTGTTGGCCTTGGTAGTGTTAGGGGCAGCAACGACCATGCCGCGGCGGATGTCCTCACGGCGGACACCACGGAGCAGAAGACCGGAGTTATCACCGGCACGGGATTCGTCACAGGACTTCTTGAAGGTCTCAATATCGGTAACCTTGGTCTTGATAGGGTTGCCGGAGTCGGTGGCACCGACAATTTCAACCTCAGTATCCTTCTTCAGGAGACCACGCTCGACACGGCCAGAAACAACAGTACCACGACCAGGGATAGAGAAGACCTCCTCCACGGACATAAGGAAAGGCTTATCCATATCACGCTCGGGGGTGGGGATCCAGGTGTCGACAGCCTTCATGAGCTTGTCAATCTGCTCAGCACCAATGTCGGGGCGGCGATCCTCTAGGGCGCAGAGGGCAGAGCCGAAGATGATAGGAGTCTCCTCACCCTCGAACCCGTAAGAGGAGAGCAGCTCACGCATCTCGAGCTCAACGAGCTCCAGCATCTCAGGGTCCTCCACAGCATCGACCTTGTTGACGAACACAACAATCTTTTGAACACCAACCTGACGGGCAAGCAGCAAGTGCTCGCGGGTCTGGGGCCTATAGTGTGATTTGCGTCAGCGCACTCTTCAAACTAGTTTTCTGGACTGGGGGCCGTACATCTGACCATCGGAGGCAGCAACGACAACAATGGCACCATCCATGTTGGCAGCACCAGTAATCATGTTTTTAATGTAGTCGGCGTGACCGGGGCAGTCGACGTGGGCGTAGTGGCGGTCCTCGGTAGCGAACTCAATGTGGGCAGTCGAGATGGTAATACCACGCTTGCGCTCCTCAGGGGCCTTGTCAATGGAAGCATAGTCGAGGAAGTTGGCAAGACCCTTAGAGGCCTGGTTCTTGGTGATTGCCGCAGTCAGGGTGGTCTATGGGCGGACAGGTTAAGTTTTATGTTCAGATGGCGGAGATGTCGGAACAAGTCGCGATTAGCTTACCTTGCCGTGATCGACGTGACCAATTGTACCTGGGCAATAACATTTTAGAACGGAGATGGACTATGCGCCAACGACAGGATCTTACCAATGTTCACGTGGGGCTTGTTGCGCTCGAAAGCAGTGGCCAATCCACGGCCAGCCACCTTGTTGCTGAAGACATGGTGGATGGGGTTGACGGCAGTTGGACGCAGCAGGGAGGACCGGCCAGTGCGCACCAGGAGGTTCAAGGAACGGGAGATGGTCGACATCTTGGTTCGATCGAAACAAAAACGATGGAGCAAGAACAAAAAGGAAAGATTAAAGAGATGGAGTAAGGATGGGAGAGAAGGAGCCCAGATCAACACCAAATTTTCTAGTACGATGGCTTTCCGGGATGGATGGATCCCCAAGGCGGCTTAGTCATCACCCAATCACGGGCCTTGAATTGCGGGCAGAATAGAGGTTGAATGTGGTGCTAATGAAACACTTGATGATCTGTGTGGCAAGTGTGTCTTGATGCGGAAGTTTCCAACGGTCTTATCTCTCGGCGCAGGCCTACTTCCAATGTATCCATGGATGTACAGATGACACCAGGTATCGCGGTGTACGGATCCGAATTTCAACACTGTAACAGTCTTCATGTTGTACAGATCACTGCGATATAGTATACATTTCTCTCCACTAGATATTCTTCTGTGCGGTAATCCTGAGTTGCTTCCCCGGTTCTCCCTCCATAGCCTTGGTCTGAGTTCCACCGGCCTCCCTGATTGTGTCCAAAACGCTCTGCATGACCTGTTTGATCTCATCCACTGTAGGATTGCGCTTGCGCTTTTTGGTAGTTAATAGAATTTCCACCCTGCGACCTTTCTCCAAAAAAGTTGAGAGTTGTTTTAGGCGGTGCGACAAGTCATGGGCATCGATTGCCCAATTCAGCTCAATTTGTTTGAATATAACCTTGGACTCGCGAGCCGACTTTGCTTTGGCCTTCTCAAATGCTCGCACTTCTTTCTTGTTGTAGACCTTGCAAACCGGTGGGTTGTCAATGTCTCCTTCTTGCACCTGGAGAAGGAAGCATTCCGCGTGGTCAAAGCTTTCAAGGACATCCTCTAATCTGGTCGGAGGGTCGAGGTCACCTTCATCATTCACAACTTGGACAAATGACGCACGGATAGCTTCGTTTATCGGGGGCTTTTCGACAGGTGGTCGGTATGCTCGCAGCCTTAGGTAATAGGACTGTTGAAAATATCGAGTCTGGGGGGTATTCTGAGAATGCCTGAATGCAAGAATTCCAACTCTGGAGGTGCGAACAGGTGCGATGAAGATCTGGCGCAGGGCTTGGGCGGATGATACGAGACCTCGTGTGTGGTTCATATTGTCGGCTGGTAGTGGGAAATGTAGCAAGATTCAGAGAGGGGTGGCGAGCTTCTCAGTAAGAAGAAAGATTATGGGTTACAACGAAAAAAAAACAACACAAAAGAGGGTCAGTTAAGCAGACAACTGGCCGGGGAAGTAAAATACGACCAAATGCAAACAGGACAAACATTAGAAAACCACCTGCCCACGGGCCCGGGGTGAAGCCCATTGTTAGATGCTTCCGGCGATGACGATGCCGCCTGTACCTATCAAAAAAGGTGGCCATACCGCACAGGTCATCCGGCATTTGGCGAGTAGTCTGAATCAAGTGGCCTAATTCAAGTCAAAGATTTGTCCCTCAGTTTAGGAGTCACATACTGGCAATAAGTGCATCAACTACTACTTATAGTACATGCTAATAACTGATGCAACATGTATTCTCTGTTCTTCGTAGGAAGGTGAACATATTCCATTGTTGTTCTGTTATATTCTCATGCGTTGCACTTGATTCTTCAGTTCTGCCTGTTTAGTCCAGTGCTTTTGTTAAATTGCAAACCACAAAATTGTACTATTGCTTGCTCCAACTTCCCTCGTAGAGGCCTTGAGATTTTGTATTTTTTATCACTCCTTAGGGAGAAAGCCCACAGTAAGCTTAGTGGAAGAATAAGATGCTTTGGTCTTATATCATTCCTACATAGTGTGCGTAAATCTTGGACCCCCGATGTACGATGTACGGAGCAGGTATGTTGTACATCTATGGATGCATGCATGCAACGCCACATCTGCGCCACAACCATGAAACCCTGAATCTCCTTTCTCTCCTGACAATTTCCCTCTTTGCATCCCATTCACTTTTTTTTCCCTCTAGATTGGCTTGGTGTTTTTGGAGGAAATTGGGGTCAATGGTTACTTAATTGTTTCATTCTTCCTCTTGACCCATACGATCGTTCAACCATTCTTTTCCAGCGACGAAACGCCACCTATCACTGCACCATCGTCATTCGCCAACTGCTCGAATGTCGACTGGAGTCGACAATCAAAAGCATAATAACAAATCTGACTACATAGATTCGGCCACCCGCCACCGCTCCACCTCCCGCAGCGACGGATCTGCCATCTCGCAGTCCATTGAGCTTCATCAACCCTCCGACAAAGAAGTCGTCAACATGGCGCAAACTCAGAGATCGCGTTACTTGAAGACGGGGGCAATCATTGCCTTCATTCTTATGGTCCTGGTGTGGCTCTCTCCGTCCCAGCCGAGCGCTTCAAAAATTACCGACGGTTAGTGTTCTCCTTGCGCGCACTGCCATTCGCAGATCTGATTTTTCGCAGAGCAACCCCCTTCGAACAGTGGTGAATCTACTTCAAGAGTGTGCACCAAGCCATTTGATTCGTCCAAGCCTCTTATTCAGTATGCTCTTATGATCGACGCCGGCAGTACTGGGTCCCGAATTCATGTATATCGATTCAACAACTGCGGCCCTACCCCAGAACTTGAGAACGAGGTGTTCGAACAAACGAAAAAGAAGGAGGGAGGCTCCGGTCTCAGCTCTTTCAGGGAGGATGCCGAAGGGGCAGCTCTGAGTCTGGATCCTCTTATGGATGTTGCTGTGAAGTCGGTTCCTGAGGAGTACAGGTCGTGCTCTCCCGTTGCGGTCAAGGCCACGGCCGGACTTCGTCTTCTAGGTCCTGAAATGAGCGACAAGATCTTGGAAGCTGTTAGACACCGCTTGGAGACTGCCTATCCCTTCCCCGTTGTCTCCAAGGAGAAAGGCGGCGTCCAGATCATGGATGGTTCGGACGAAGGTGTCTACGCCTGGATTACGACTAACTACCTGTTGGGCAAGATCGGTGGCCCAGACGAGACTCCCACGGCCGCCATCTTTGATCTGGGTGGTGGTTCTACTCAGATAGTCTTCCAGCCTACCTTCGAGCAAAGCAAGGCCGGTGGTATGCCGGAGCACCTCGCCGCCGGTGACCACAAATATGACCTTAAGTTTGGCGGCCGCCAATTTGAGCTGTACCAGCACTCTCATCTAGGATACGGTCTCATGTCTGCCCGTGAGGCCATGAACACGGTGGTCGTGGAGGCGATGCTGGCTCAGAGCCCCAAGGACCTTTCTTGGGTTGAGCAGCCCATCTCCAACCCCTGTATTGGTCCTGGGATGCAGAAGGACGTTACACTCAAATTCCCCGCTGACCATCCCTTGGGGCCTAAAGTCACTGTGACCATGGTCGGCCCGAAGGACAAGTCTATGGCCCCCCAGTGCCGTGCTATCGCTGAGAAGATCCTGAATAAGGGCGGCGACTGTAAACTTGCACCTTGCTCCTTCAATGGCGTGCACCAACCCTCTCTCGCGAAGACTTTCTCTCGAGAGGACGTGTACATCTTCTCTTATTTCTTCGACCGCACAGCTCCTCTTGGCATGCCCGAATCTTTCACTCTGAACGAACTTAACCAGCTGACCTCCACTGTTTGTGCTGGCGAGAGCGAATGGAAGGGCTTTGAGAGTATTAAGTTCGAAAATGAGGATAGTGCGCTCGTGCAGCTTCGGGATCGTCCGGATTGGTGCATGGACCTCAGCTTCATGATGGGTCTGCTGCACACTGGCTACGAAATGCCCTTGTCCCGCGAGGTCAAAATCGCCAAGAGGATTAAGAACAATGAGCTGGGTTGGTGTCTTGGTGCGAGGTTAGTTCACTCCCTCCCATCCTTTTTAATCAACATACTGACCTACTACAGCTTGCCTCTTCTGAGCCAGGAATCTGGCTGGACTTGCCGCATCAAGGAAGTGGTCTAGAAAATGAGACAGTGAAACGCAAATTACCACTTTTTAATAACGTTATTTTTTGATCATAGGTAGTGCATGGTGGGTTCATGCATATATAGAGATCCGCGATAGCTCGTGTCTCTTGTTTTGCTTTTCTTTCTTCTTCCATATCCATTATCTAGACTTGATTTCTCATGAGTTTTATGCCTAGAAAATGAATCTAAGAGTGCATTTGTGCATGCAATTGATTTGGAGCCACTCCTGTAAAGAAAAAAAAGAGAAACATTGAACGCTAAATGATAAATGATAATCCGGAGCCCACGATGTGTAAATGTCAAGCCAGTAAATCACCATGATTGAATCAAGGACATACATCTCAACAGAAAATTTCATGAATGATGAAACTCACAACAGAATCGAACAAGTGCCCACTAAGCCATCTCCTCGATAGACGGCTTATCCATATTCGCCTTTTTGCTTTTACCTCCCATAAGCTTCCCAATAATATCCGAGTTATTCACCTCCTGGGGGGTCTTCCCAGCCCCAGTGACATCACAAGACTCCTCATCGTCAGTTTCCTCGTCACTTGCGGAATCGCCATCGCGCCTTTCTTCCAAGACCCCAAGACCAAGATTCTAAGGTCTGTTAGCAAACCGCATCACAATCATCAAGCGCCATCGATAAGCCTTACCATCTCAATATACTGCTCTCCGGTCTCGTCCGCATTGTCGAGAACCAGATCTTCAGCCTCCCCAGCTTCTATCTGCCTCTGCAAGTCCTCATTTGCATTCTTCATCTTTGGCAAGAAAGCGTTGAGCCGCGACAAAAGTTCCGAATCGCCTTTCATGCGATGTATACGCGGTTTCGGGCGGCCGGCGATGTGAGGTAGTGAGGAGCATGGATCAGAGGCATGTGCTTCAGTGGCTGACTCTCCAGTGCCATTAATTTCCCGATTGGAGTGTTGTTCGTCTTCCTTTTCACTCTCGCTATCATCCTCTGAAGATGAGCCCGAGGAGGAGGTTGGGTCAGAGTCGAATGATTGAGCAGAGTTGGCGCGCTCTCGACGGGGCGCGGTGCGGTCTGTTAGGTTCAAGGTTTGTGCAGAAGTACCGCGTGCAGCAGCCTCGGATCTAATCGTTGCTTTTGGCATAATTGGTGTGTTTGGAGGTATGCAGCTTGCTGGAAGTCGCAGAGATTTCTCGGAGATTGTGCTGCGATGGTATGGGGATCAAGGGTTGGATGGCGCGCTGACAGGATTTTTCGAGATGTTCGATATGGCTAAATTTGAGCTCAGCGTCCGATGGCCTGCGAGGGTTTCCTGCGACTTGGAAGAGTGGAAGTTGGTGTGCCTAGATAGAAGTGGGCATTTTCAACTTTTTTGAGTGGAGAATTGATAACGGATAAGCTTATCTGCTATCGATGAACCCGCATCGAGATGTTTTCCATTGAAGTAGAGGTCATAGGTAGGATATCCAGGTGGTTATAGTCTCTCTAATCATACATGATGTTATTACAGCGTAGTTCAAAGACAAAGACTAGTCCGGTAGAGAAAGCCTCCCTATCCTCGGCTCCGGTTCCTTCTTCGACTGCGACTTCGTCGTCGACTTAGGCTCCTTCGTCGGCTAGGACTCCTTCGGCGACTAGGGATTCGTCGACGAGGTCGGCGATCATCTGCGTCCTTCTCCTTTTCTTTCTCCTTCTCCTTTTCTTTCTCCTTCTCCTTTTCTTTCTCCTTCTCCTTTTCTCTCTCTACGCTAGCCTCGAGATCCCCTTCTTTTGCTTGAGTCGGATCTTTATCTCGTTCAGATGTAGGTTTGTAACGGTCAATGTCGGCTAACCGGGGTCGCTGTTCCCGCTCTCGCTCTGGAGATCGGACCCGGCGACGAGGTGACTTACTCCGGTTGCTGGTGGAGGGCACGTAGCGGTCAATGTCTAGAGTAGGAGAAGGCGAGCGACGCCGAGACCGAGATCTCCGTCGAGTAGATCGAGAACGTGACCGAGGGCGGTCACGAGCACGAGGGCGCGAGCGTGAACGGCTGCGAGAACGTCGGCGTACGGGTGAGCGAGAGGGCCGGTTGCGCCGAGGGCGATAATTATCGTGATCTCGGTCTCGGTTGCGGCTGCGGTCTCGGTCACGGTCTTTGGACCGCGATCGATCCCGTATCCTATCTCTGTCCCGGCCAATACTGCGGTCCCGGTCACGCCGGCCGGTGGATCGGCTGCGGCTGCGGCGGTTTGGCCTGTAGCTTCCACCGCCTCGGTCATCCCGGAAGTCGCGGTAGCCGCGGCGCGCATCGATATCACGATCTCGAGACCTCGCAGAAGCATCCCGGGACCGTTCGCGACGACGATCTGTGTCGTAACGGGATGTGCGCCGCCGGCGCGAGCGACTACGGCTTCTATCCCGAGTCAAATGTCGGGACCGATCACCCCGGTCTGCAAAAGAACCACGCCTCGCGTCAGCATCTCGGGATAGGCTGGCCGCTCTGGTAGATGTATTAGAAAATCTGGAATCGTTGGCGCCCTTGGTCGGCCCTAATGTTGATACTGGCGGTCTCAGTCCATTTTCAATAGCCTCGGCCTCTTCAAAGTCAAACTCGGGCTTCTGTCGAGCCTTGGCTGCAAGTTCTTCGCCTTCTCTCAAGAGCATCTGCAAAGCAGCCTCCTCAAGTGACTTCTCATCCACAAGGGGCGCTAACACAGGAGTGGGAGCATTGGATGTAGATGACTTGTCGTGTTTTGAATCCCGGGGCCAAGGAGATAAGCCACGGTCAGAGCGATAGGCCGGAGAGCGATCACGGAAACGGTCTCTATCTCGAGTTCGACTACGGTCGCGGTCGCGGTCCCAGCCTCGATATCGGTCCCTATCTTCTCGCCTTCGTCGCTCATATCTTTCATCTCGCTCTCGTTCTCGCTGCTCGTCGAGGATTCGTTGTTCTTCGCGTTGGCGTTCACGATCAGCTCGCCTCTGTTCATCGATTTCCTTTCTCCGGGCCCGGTCTTCCTCATCTTTCTGACGTTCAAGTTCCCGCTTCTTTTTGCGTTCTTCATCCCTGACACGTTTTTCCTCTTCCTCGATCTCCTTCAGTTTGCGCTCTTCTTCGCGCCAAATCTTTTCCCGCTGCTCCCGCTGGGCTCTGACGTGTGCTTCGTAGTCTGCATCGGTTTTGTTCCCTAGCTCGAGTTCACGGGCGGCTACTTCCTCTCCGACGTCCTGGCATCGGATCTCGCGGACAGATTCGAGGATAAAATCAAGATGTTTGGATGCTAGTTGGTCGATGGAGTCCTCCACGCTCTTATACACATCACCACGATCCACCGCACCCTCAATGAGTGTCGCTGCTTTTCCTCTCTCGCGTGACAGCAGTGCCGGCTCGCGATCGATCTCTGACTCTGCAAGTGCGACCAACTTGTTGGTGAAATCAGTTCGAAGTTCCTGTTCGGATTGAATTAGTAGGGTATAGAAATTAGTAAAAAGTCTCCCATACCCCGTCGTTGAATTCAGCCCATATTTGTTTGCGAACACTATCAAAGCCACCCTTCTTCTTGAATGAATGTAGGAGTTTGTCAATGACTGCATGTTGCGCGGCAGACAAGGGAAGGTCATCGGTCTTGAACTTCTTGCGCTTTACGCTTTCAATATCGACAGGTTGTTTAGCCATAGGACTGACATCCTCACACCTCTTGGAAATTTCCATTGCCTCGTTAGAAGCCATAGTTACAAGACTGGCCTGGACAAGAGGGAGATTCGAAGTCGCGCGAGCGATAAGCGACAACAGCTACAATCGGAAGAACTGTTGTTCCGTGATTGGGAACTGCGGCCCGCTGATTTGCTTCAACCTCGTCTCTCCTGTACTATTGTGACGGCAACATCCAATTCCGCCTCCATTTACCCCTGCCGCCGTGGTGTTAAATTAACCAATTCATCCATTTGCAGTCTTGATCCCTTTTCTCGGATTCTCCTCCGCATTTGATCTACAGCCACAACCCTGCGCCCGACCGCGATCATGGTTCACAAAGTACTCTTCTGGAGCGGTTTCGGTACGTGACATATCCTTCCATCTCTCTTTCTTAATTACAAAAGCCTGTTTCTCTTTCCCCTTCTTTTAGATGGGTATTGGAACTAACCGCGTTGATCCCACAGGCATTGCCGTCCGCCTCTGGCAACTCGGCATCGAGATGCGTCCGATCCTCGCCAAGGAGTCCCTCTGGGTCTACCCTCTTTTCGCCGGTGTTGGTGGAAGCTTTGGCTACTGGCTCCAGGGTGTTGAGAGCAGACAATTGAAGATGCTTGCACAGCGCCGCGAGGCCATCCTTGAGAAGCGTCGGCGGCGGGATGAGAAGCCCGAGGGTGGTGTCCTGGCTGCTGCATCATAAAGCAAAGAGCTGTTATGATTGAGATGGTCGTTGTGTGTATGCGTTTTTTTTATTTGTACCAAAATTCAACCGGTTTGATATCAGCATTCGGTTCTTCGCATCTAGTGGACAATCCTTGCCACGGATGTAATGGCATTTCTTACATTGTTGTTCTGTTCCCCAAAAATCTGGATAAGAATAGGTTTCAATTTGCCCGTCTGCCTTATTTTTATTCCACGGGGTACCAATCCCGAAGTAGAATATTTCCAGGGTTGACACGACCCATCCATTCTGTCTAAGGCGTCATGAGTCAGCAAGGAGTGGGTGCCCGACGGGCAGTCTCCCCGGGTCGAGTACATCATCAACTCTGCTTCGTAGACACCTACTTAGACTGCGCTCGTCATTCATTTGTTTTTTTCTGTTTGCTACCTCTGTAACATAGCCGAGCTCCCCGGTCCTTCTTGGATCTATTGTTTCTCTTTATCGCGATGCTTAGTGTCTGTCTTTGAGGAAGAGTCCGATGCCGAGACTGTGGCATAGATGGATAACCGCGGCTCCTTTTTCTTCTTCCTGCTGGTGATTTACCTTCTCCTCAGTTCTCAGTCTCGACCAGCATTGATCGATGAAGATCGGGCACGACAACATGAGCTTAACCATGAGCGACAGGTCCTTCGGGTGTTGAATGGGTCAAAATATGGTGACTTCGATCCACCTGCCAATCGATGGCTTCCTTTTTCGGGCTTAAGGGGAAATGACAGCTATGCTTGGGACCTTTTGCCCCAAGTCAAAGGGCTGGCTTGCCACCAGTTACAATCAGCAGTTTCAATTGCCGGATTAGAACCCCCGGATGGTCTTGTAGACCCTACCGTCTCGCCCACGTTGAACTTGACCAAGTTCCTGCTTCCAGTATATCGAAATTCAACCGGAAAGCTTCGGGGGGACTGGGTTCGGAGAACTGAAGGTGCTGATCGCCGTGAACCCCTGAACACGACAGCCATCGCTGAAGAACACGAATACTTCACGCATGAATTCAGCCATAATATCACTGGCAATGGGGGCACCTTTTACTTCGATCTTGAAGAGGGAGGTGGCGAAGAGATTCAGCTGGGCGACGGAATTTTAAGAGAGATGCGAGCCAGTTTGACGGTCGAGAGTGAAGACTTCTGGGGAAGTACCTGGTACATCTCGTTGTTTGGTGTACACTTCCCAGACACTGGAAGTATCGTTTTGACTACTTCTAGTGAGAAGTTTGATGGCGTCTTCTTGTTGCCGCATTTCATGTTATCTTCCGACACATACGAACTGTCCCATGAGCTTCTGCTCAAGTCACTGTCGGACACTATCTCGGAGAAGCAAAACCGACCCCCAACACTGTTCCCCTGGTCATCTCTAGCAGGAACGGAGCAGATGGAGTTCTCTGCGCCTAAATGTGAACATATCATCTTTTTGCAGCAGCATCCAGTCATGCTCGGGGATGCCACTGCTGACCGATTGTTATTGGAACGTATGGAGCAAGAGCTCAGATATCCAATGGGAGCGCCAATTCCAGAGCCTCCTCTTATGGTCATGTCTGCCGTTGTCTTCTCCCCAGACTGCGGGTACATACTTCATACTAAAGGAGCCCCCGAGTTCCCTCCTTCTGAATCGCTCTATGTGACTGGCCCCAAGCATGAAGAGTACAGTAAATATGCAGCTCGTCTTATCTTCGTGGTTTCTGGTGTTTTTGTTGCACAGATCACTCTGCTTCTTCGACAAATCAAAGAGGCTTCGACTCCTTCTACCCGGAGTCGGATTAGCTTCTATACCATCGCATTGATGGCGCTCGGCGATGCATTTGTTTTGACTTTCATTGTTTTGGAACTATATGCCGCAGTATCATTCTTGGTTCTGGCCACTGCATCATTTTTGGCGTTCTTGTCAGTAAGTTATATTGGAATGAAGTTCATGATGGAGATATGGGCAGTGCAGGAGCCAGAAAGAAGAGAGCAAGATCGTCCGCCCAATCCATCAGTTTCAACTACTCGCCCTGATACTTTGCCTTTGCCTGCCACTGCTCTGGCGGTGCGAGACTCGGGCGCCACCGCAATCATCTTGTCGCCTGACCAAGATCCCCCCGAGAATGAGATGGATTCACCGCCACCAGCCACCCGAACCGCTCCCCAACCCCTAGGCAAATTCGCAGCGATGTAGGAACAATGTACGCGCGGTTCTATCTTGCGCTGTTTAGCATGCTCATTCTGTCAATCTGGGCTTTCCTCCTGCCGAGACGCCTCGGCTCGATCTACACCCGTTTCTTGGCAGCAGTCTATCTCTCCTTCTGGGTTCCACAGATCTACCGCAACGTGATGAGAAATTGCCGGAAGGCCCTTCGATGGGACTTTGTTGCCGGCCAAAGTGTTCTCCGGCTCTTCCCGTTCCTGTACTTCCTCACTGCACGGGGAAACGTCTTGTTCATCCGCCCCGACTACACAAGCGCATTCATCATGACCGGCTGGGTGTGGATCCAAGCTTGGATCTTGGTCAGCCAGGACGTTCTCGGGCCACGTTTCTTTGTGCCTCAGGGCTGGGCGCCGCATGCATACGATTACCATCCCATGCTGCGCGATTTATCCGGAGTGGACGACGATCTGGAAGGTGGTGGCGTTCTGTCCATCGCATCGCTGCGGGGCGATGAGCGAGATCTGGTCAGTGACTCCAAGGATGACGGTAAGCAGAGGAAAGACCGCAAGAAAGCCATCTTCGACTGTGCTATTTGCATGCAGGATATCGAGGTTCCTGTTCTTCCCGCACCTTCTTCGTCGGGTGGAAGCAGCGTTACCGATGGAGCCTCAAGCATCTTAAGTCGCCGGCTGTATATGGTCACTCCTTGTCGTCATATCTTCCACACTGCCTGTCTGGAAAGCTGGATGAGACTTCGCCTCCAGTGTCCGATCTGTCGTGAATCCATACCTCCTGTATAGCTTCTGCTGTAATTTTTCAGGCATGATTTCATCACCTGTGCACAGACCTGCTGCATCCCACTGTAAGGACTTGCACTAAACTCACATCCACCTGAATATATGGACCATGATCCCTCAACAAGGAAATGAATCAACACTTTATTCGCATATACAGAAAACTTTTTGAACAGAATGTCGATCCACACTTTCGTTGAAGGAAATCAGTCACCATTGAGCATGCACGACAATAAGACATCACACTTAAAAAAAGCCACCACATCCAGCAAATACAGACACTTATAAACCATGAATCACGACCGGTCTTAACACTCGACAAATCTAAGCATCGATAGTCTCTTTGTAGGCAGCCTCATCGAGCAACGCATCAAGCTCAGTAGCATCAGCGACCTCAATCTCAGCAATCCAGCCCTCAACCTCGGGGCTCTCGTTGATAGTCTTAGCCTTATCCTCGAGAATGCTGTTAACCTTGATGACCTTGCCGGCGACAGGGGAGAGGACATCGGAGGCGGACTTGACGGACTCGACGGCGCCGACAGGCTCGCCGGCAATGATCTCGAGGTCTATTTCGGGAAGCTCTACATAGACGACATCACCTAATGAGTGAGCGGCGTATTCGGTGATACCGATCTTGGCTATAGAGAGTGTGTTAGCTACCTCGCTGCTTCACGTACCGTTCACTATGGAAGGCCATATGCAACTGGCACGTCGGTTCAATGGTTCAAAAGAAGGCGTATGGGACCAATTGGTCGGGGTGGTAGTGAACTAACCAGTCTTTCCGCCGTCGGCCAGCTCAATCCATTCGTGCGACTCTGTGTATTTTTTCAGCTGGGCTATAGTTGCGAATCAATGCGCCGTTAGTAAAACTGTGACATCATAAAGCTCCCAGAAGTAAGCTTGAAAATTTGTGATGCTTCAATGCCCGTCCAGATGTCTTGCGCATTGTGATGGACAACATTTAACAGTTTTGGGGGTTCGTGGTACTCACAGAGAGGGCTCTGAGAGAAGCTCCTGGTTCCCCGCGGGAAACGGGAAGCAGACGAGATCTGGCAGGTGGAGGCAAGAGGCTTCTGGGCAAGGACCCGGGAAGCAAAGGGGCGGATGGCGCGAGCTACGGAGGACATTTTGAGGTATAGAGGAAAGGAATTGGAAGTGTGGGAAGTGATAAGAGAAGAGGAGAGAGTTTAAGTAGAAAGGAAAGAAAGTGATGCCCTTCTCCGGCGGAGTCTCGTTGACGGCATTTCCCCGATAACGATATGCCAAGACTGCGATAAGCAACGCGCTAACCTCGTCGGATTTTGCTGGCCTCAAATGGTCATTGCTCTAATTCTGTCTCTAGTGCACGCCACCCCTCGATGCCATGTTGTACGAGTTGATAGCCATTGTATGTTTTTGGTTTATTTGGAACTGTCATATTGACTCCACAAGAAATGTCTGGATTTGCTAACCGCTCTGTGAACAGGTCCGCCCGGGTAGCCTCAACGAGGTGCGAGAGTACGTCTGAACCAACACCATCGCCGGGGTTTTCATCGTCCGAACCTATCGAATACTAAGATACCTAATTTCCTGCAGAATCGCCCGTAATGCTGGTACCCAAGTTATCCGCTCCGGTGGCGTTGTTCGTGGCTACACCAACTGGGGCGCCTTCCGCCTGCCCAGGGTCACCACGAAACATCAGGCCCGATACACCGAAGGTCACCACTTCATCATGCGCTTCGACTCTTCTGGTGCTGTTCAGTCATCTATCCGCCGTACGCTCGGTCTCGACCCGCGTATGATCAATTTCTCCGTGGTCAAGCTCGGCGACAAGCTTGAGGAGATCAAGGACATCGAGGGCAAGGTTGAGTGGAACAATGTTACCACTATCACCGAGCAGATCTAATTGAGACATTTGGTTTCTTAACGAAAGTTTGATTGATTGTTGATCAGATCTCGGAGCGTGGATTTGAATTTCAGCCCTTTTCTTTTTGTTCTTTGTATTTTTATGGCATGAGGGGTGGGAACTGTCACTCGAACCTTTCAGCACAAACGGCGCATATTGTACAAAATACCAGTTTGATCTACAAGTATATTTTGTGGATGTCACTACAATCTACGTGCCCTTCACTCCTCGGTCCTCCGGAAAAGATGACAATAGCGGGCATAGCAAATAAAACATCCGTCCGACAGAAAGGCCCAATGTATCTTTCCCTATTTGAAAATGGAGGTCGACATACCTCCCGGGGTGATTCTCTGAAAGCCACCATGGTTCGATTTCTATAACCTAGGGAGTGAAGTGCTCCAGCCAAAATGCATTTCCTTCGCCCGCTCAACCCCAAGAACGCTGAACGTCGATTAAGGAGCCTATACAGATATAGACAACCAATTTATTTAGAAGGTAGACAATTTTTTTGTTCAAACCTTCAACAATGAGAAGACTCCCTTCTATGTTGTAAGGTCGCATGCGTCAAAGAGACAAGCCGAGGCACCGACTGGACCCGTCTGTTAGTCCGGGGTACGTACTAACCTCCATACATTCCCCTATCAACTCTACCTCTCACAGTGCAATCCTGTAGGGCTCCCATGATATAGTAGGAGACTACAAAGCCTAGCTGATTAACTCTTCTCGCCTACCACAATCGGGGAGGATCACCATCGGATCCGCTGGTATTGTTGATAGGACAGGTACCATCGGCCTGTACAACAATCCAATCCACCTTTTCGAAACAAGCACCTGCCAGCTTGGGTTCTTGGGGTGGGGGAAGCCTAACTAAAAAGAATCCCTCACCTCTTTTACGCCATGTCTCCGCAACGCGGGGCCCCGGACAATTACAGCAAACTGACGTCCCCGCATTCCTTCATCGAGTTGATGTCGCTGCAGCGGCTCGAAGATGCCTTGATCTCATTTCCCGATTCCACCGAGTCAGAGAAGATTGAGCGGTTCCGCTCGTTAGCAAGACCTTTCAATCCTGGCCAGGGAACGCGCTCTTTCGGTGGACATGTCTACGCCCAATCAGCCTACGCAGCGTCCAAGACCGTCGGCCAGGGATTAGTGATTCACGTAGGTTTCCGTACATCAATTTCCCCCAAAGGTACTCAACCTGATGAAACGGCGGCAGGATACGACGGGCACATTCATCCTAGGAGGACGGCTCGACATGCCATTCGTGTACACAGTGCGACACATCCGCGATGGATTCATGTACAGCACACGAGCTGTCGACGCATGGCAAGCAGGCAGAATCTGCTTTTCGTGCATATGTTCCTTCAAGCGCGACGAGAGGCAGCGTCTCTTCCAACACTAGCCGATATCAGCACACACGCGCTTCGACTCAATCCTCTCGGTAAAACGGCCAGAAGACCAGCCTCTCAGTCCCAGCGTGGATGCAGAATGGTGGATTGAGGCTGTGCGGCAGGGAAAGTTCTCCGAGCACGAGTTTCCCGGTCTGGATGTGCGCAAGACCGACATGAAAGATTACAACCGCGCCGGGGATGTAAAGCAACATCCTGAGCGATATCGCCAGCTAACGCAATATCGGCTCAAAGGGTCGCCTGATGAGAATCCTGCTGCCAGTTTGGCGCAGATCCGGGAGAGGGAAGAAACTGGCCAATATGATAATTTGTATGCGTGTGCGCATATGTATTCCAGTGATAAGAACTCGCTTTTTCTGATTACACGGGCGCTGGGCATCGACCACTGGACTGAGATGGCGAGCCTTACGCTTACATTTATTCTGCATCAGCACGGAGAAGCTCTGCGGATGGTTGATTGGGAAATGATTGGTGACGGCGATGTTGCCGGGGTGAGTGAGTTTCCCATGAAGTGGTTCGTGCAGGAGGGGTGGACGCCTCGGGCTGCAGAGAATAGAGGGACGCATGAGAGTCATCTTTGGAGCCCCGATGGGACACTACTGGCGACTTCTTTGCAGGATAGTATGTTGCGCTTGAAGAACTTAGGGCTTCCAAATTTGTGACAGCTCCTTGTAGATAGATAGTCTATAGACTAGATAGTCATACAGATGGGACTATGACAGCGGGATCACTTGCTAGGATTAACTCCACAGAGGGTTGGTTCCTCTTCGTCACTTATGTTCAGATATTGAAATCGCAGTGGCGGCAATATATAGGCGTAACATTGTGCAGCCTGTTTCATGTCTTGACCATCAAGTGGTGTCAAGACACGGTCAGCCTGCCACTAAGCCCCCACGGAATCATTAAAATAGGTGCCTTGTAACGCTCACAAGAAGAAGGGTATTATGACATGGTGTGCGCTAGAAAAAAGAAAAGAAAGTCAAAGATCCTCCCCGGATATATTAGCATGCTTGAAGTACTTCATACCCATCCAAGCTACAACAACCCAAACCCAAGACATGACAGCCGTCAGAGTTATAAGTGCAGGATAATACCCGACAATCGGCAAAGTAGGATCGTCCTCCAACTCAGGCGGTGCATAGGGCGTCTCCCCAACATCCCAAGCCCAGCTCCAAACCTCGAAGCAGCTCCCAATACCTACAACAAAGACCAGCCACGTCACAATCAGTATAATCCAGCCCCACCACTCAGTCTCGGAGTAGTCCACGCCCACATCCGGACTGCTCTTCATCTCAACCGGGTGCGTGGCCAGGGGCGAGGACTTGTGTCGGTGGACGGGTAGGTATGCCGGTTCTGGCTGTGGTTGGAGTGAATAGAAAGAGTCTGAACTAGAGGACGGTGGGGAGAGGTGTAAATCGGTTGTGGAGCCGATTTTGGGGCTGGTGCCCGTGCCGGCCGCCGCGGAGTTTGGACTGGAGTGGAGGCGAGGGAAGGAGACGAGGTCCTCGTCGTCCGTGGCATGTTCTTGGAGATTATGCTGTGCGAGGCCCTGGCGTCGGCGGCTCATTGAACGTCGGATGGGGTTCTGGGTATTTGCCGCGCGAAACCAGGTCGGCTGTTGGGTAATGTGGCGGTCGTCATCGAAGGCCTTGCTTTCACGCAGTGAGTATCGCGTAGGTCCATTATCGGAAGTGGTTTGATCTTTTAGTTGTATAGCGGCTTGTAGATTGGCTGCTGGGAGTCGGCTGGGTTCTGCGCGCAGGGCTTCGAGGGCTTCCGCGGCTTTCGCAGTGGCTCGTTTGTCGCGCGATTCAAGCCGGGTGCCAAGCAATGCCGTTTTGCGGAGGGAGCCACGTCGGCGACGCGTTCGATTCTGTGCGAGAGCGGCAGATATTGCCCGGCTGCTGGTGGTGCCTCCCTTGCCTGTGTTCTGCGGCATGCCGGAGTGGAGGTCTTCGTCGCCATCGTGGTCCATGTCTGGATGTGATCGACCTAGGGAGGTATGTGCTGCCTGGCTCACGCGAAGGAAGGAAATTCTCGAGAGGAGGGAGCTAGAAAAGCTTCGATTGTGGCCACTGCTTGCGCTGCCTGATCGGGTGCGAGGAGATGGTTCGTGGACCGCCAAGTCCGCGTCATCGTCCATTGGTGCAAGTGGAACCTGGAGCTGGGAGCTCAGTCAGCCCTCTTCCATTGATAAAACTTGACGTCTTCGTTTTGTTTTTCGGCTGATGTTCAATGTGTTTGTCTTTACAAAGAGATGCATTACCTGCAGGGCCGTGAAGGAGTAAAATTGTAGCCTGCGACATCAGACATGAGCATGCGATGATGCGGTAAAAGATCTACATATCTAGACGTGCTTAGAATGGGGTCTTACTATACACGAGAATAAGAAACATAGGTGCACGGGCAAAGCAAACCACAGTATCGTTCTAAACGAATCAACATGGTCTGTGACTTAGTAGCGTTAGAGGCCAAACAGGACAAGGGAGCAAGCAGCGATGGCCTTGGACAACGTTCAGCACCTCTCGCGATGATCCGGGTCAATCGGAAGGCGTGGGGCCAATCTAAATGAAAGTACTCTCTCTTGTTGCAATGAACTCCTAATTTAAGCCTGGACTATCTTGTTGGGGTAAAGGTGGCCTACAAGAAGGGACAAGTTCCCACAGTTAGACAGCAGACCACTTGTGGCGTCTTTGACATCCACACGCACAAGAAACTAGCATCTGATATAGAAAGGCGGGCTTGATGAAATCTTAAAGACCTAGACTTTTACCATCTGTTTCATTTGGCCTTGAGATGATACTACAGACTTTTTCTTTTGCCATTTATCTTGTCTTCCCTCCATTCCCCATCCGTCCGCTCAGCTACAACTAGTAGGTCGAATAGCAGAACACCCCCAAAGCAAACATTTCTATGCATCCCTATTCAGAGTTATATCCATAGATAGCTGTGTCACGAGCAACACCCTAGCCCTAGCTTTCCAAGCCGAGTGCAAGGAAATATAGAAGTAGAAAAGGCGGGGAGCAGGTGCATTGTCTATTCCATCTGAAACACGCCATACATCTGATCATCACACTGCATACACATACATGCAGCGAGAAAAGGGGTGCAATTTACCAATCAACTAACGCTACAATGAATAATGACTGTCCATAAACGCCCCGTGGAGCATAACACAACATGTTCCGTTCCACCTGCCAGCCAATGAGCAGACAACGCCATGCAATCCGCCGTCTGTCTGTACAAAATACATGGTTTATAAAAAGAGTTGCAAAGAAAAGGTCATCGGCAATAAGTTTAAAGAAATGGAAAGGCAGAATGCGGCAAAAAATAGAAAAAATAAAAGGCAAATTGGTATCTGGGCTAGAACGCCAGCAAGGCAGAGACATACTTGAAAAAAAAGATCAATGGTGTCGCATGCTCCAAGGAAATTCATCACAACGTATACGCATATTCGCGGGAAAGTGCCCAGACCAATGCATCAACCGAGAAATCCAGGGTAACCCAGGAAAAGGACCCTTTAAGTGGAAAGGAGGAGCAAGCAAAGAAAGCAAGCCTAAGGAAAGACAGGGAAGCAAATCTGATACAACACATGTACTCGAATGATGAAACAGCTAGAGAAATGAAATGAACAAGATGGCCACTGTCCAAATACGCGGGTGAAGAGTAGGGAGGTCGCTTTTTATTTGGGGGCATGGCAGAGCCAAAAGTCCAAAGAACCCTTGTTAGCAAGGCACGCTTAAAGAAAAATGGAAGGAAAAAGAAGCAACGAGGAAAAAGCAAATACCGAATCAACGTGGTGGACTTGGGGGTATGGGGTGCGCAACACACAAATTCCGTTTCAGACAAAAGCAGCTTGCTCGCTTGAAAATCCACTCAATTTAAATAAAAGAAAGAAAATATCAACGGTGATGGGGAATTGTAGAAGGGTGCTATGGAAAGAAACACAGAAGGGACGTTGGGTAAACTTGGTTCTGTGAGCAAATGCCGATAGTGTCATTTGTGAGCAGACCGACTGGAGAGCGTCACAAATCGAGCTACACCTGGTAGCCTCCGTTGAAGTTGTTGGGCTGGTCCCAATTGCCGGATGGGGACATGGGCTGACCACGGCCGTAGCCCCCGGCATTACCTGCCTGAGCGTAGCCCTGGCCAGCCATAGCAGGCCCATTGAAATTGTTGGGTTGTTGATCCCAGCCTCGACCAGCAGGGGCAGGACCTATTCGACACGTCAATGAGTGCTGAGAGAGATAATGGATGCGGGGCTCACCTTGATTCATGGGGTTTGCGGGACCACCATATTGGGGGAAGAAACCGGCAGGGCTGTTGTTGAAGGGGACGGAGCTGCCCTGTTGAGGAGAGAAGTTGTCAAACTGGCCGGTAGGAGGACGATCCTTGCCCCACTGCGGCAGTCAGTAAACATGAGCAGGGAATCCCAGAATAGCAATAACTTACACTGCACTTCAGAGGACGGCCGTTGACGTTGTAGCCGTTCAGTTGGCAGATCGCGGAGGCCGCATTTTCATGCGAATCCATCTTCACAAATGCAAAGCCACGGTCGGCCTGGAGGCGAGTTTCAAGGACATAGCCAAAGTTCTGGAACAGTGGGACCAAGTCATTCTGGGTGGTGTAAGGGGTGAGGTTGCCTACGTAGCAAGTGGTCTGCCACTGGGGAGTCTGCTGGGCAACCATGTCGTAGCTCTGAATGCCGTGGGTTGGGAAGTGGTGGTGTCCGAAAGCAGTAGTAGGCGTCATACCCATAGCAACTAGGGCCTGCTGCTGGGAGATTGAAGGCTGGCCTTTCTGGTTGGCCCAGTTGCATCGGATAGCACGAGAGCCGAGCCATTCACCATCCATCGAGTTTAGGGCCTTGTCTGCTTCTGTGCGATCGCGGAAAGCAACGAACCCGTATCCACGGGAGCGGCCAGTCTTCATATCCCACATCACACGTGCTTCAGATACTGAACCAAAAGCAGAGAATGCTTGGGTTAGCACCTCGTCATTGACTTCATTGCTCAAATCGCCAACGAAGATATGGAAGTGGTTAGAAGTATCCTCCTTGCTGGTGCTGTTGGACTGGTATGCCCAGTTGACACGGATTTCCTGAGGTAGTTAGACACAGCTATCAAGTGCCACGAAAAACAGGAAACCTACCGATTGGTGGATTCGGCGACCATTCAGGGTTTGCATAGCCCTCTCGGCCGCACCTGGGTCATCGAACTCAACGAAACCGTAGTTATGGCCCTTGGTGGTGAATTGCCCCTGAACTCAAACAGTCAGCTACCACTTTTTCATCGAGGACAGAAACAAGGGGTAGTGATATCACAGATTATAGCACCAGAGACCGTCATCAGCAACCCAGGGGGAAGCTGATCTGCAGGGAGTGTTTGAGGAAAACTCACATTCTTGTCGGGGATGATCTTCACACTGACCACGTGGCCGGTGGTCTCAAAGATCTGCTTGAGGATGTCCTCAGTAACCCTCGGATCTAGCCCACCCACATACAGGGCTCTCTTGTTTGGTTCAGGAGCGGCTCTGCGGACATATCCACCAGCGCTTGTGGGAGACATCATAGCGACTCCGGACATGGGAGAGGTCATGGCGGTGGGAATCGGATTGGTATTCTGGGGAATTATCACCGGAGGCCGCGGGGGCGGGGGCATGTGGGACTGGTTGGCCTGGCCATTGCCCTGGGGAGCATCGTACTGTTGGGTTTGACCGACAGCGGGCTGAGGCGCGGGGGGAAGAGAAGAGGGAGTCGAGGCTTGAGCGTTTTCAGCCATTATGATTGCTTTTGAAAAGATACGGATGTATTCCAAAGACGATCAGAGGAAGCGAGTGATGAAGTTGGACGGGGTTAAATGTCAGACTGGGGGAACCCAGTGTTAGGTGATCTGTCAAATTCAGAATTTGAAACAATGCAGAGCGTTGCTGAAAGCCACAATCGCAAGTAAGACCGGGACAATATATGTGGTATAGGAGACCGCGGGGGGACCAGGATAGAGGAAGTCCAATAAGAAAGACCCCAAGATGGGGAAACAAAGAGGACCGGGTATAGACAGTGCTGGTAAAAGGGACACCGAAATCGAACCTGGGAGGAGGGTTTGTTTTTTTGGAGGGCTTTTTTGTTTTTTTTTGCCGATCACAAGCTCCGGTAGAATAGCTGAGAAGATGTTTCTATGGCCTGATAAAGCTGCGGTCGGAGATTGAAACGATACAAAGCGTGTTGGGGAGGTAGAAAGCCCAACAAAGAGAGGCTGAGAAAGCTCAAAGAAAACCAAAGCATGCAAGTCCCTTTACGGGGCGAAGCTAAAAAAAAAACGAAAAGAGAAAAGGAAAAAGGGAAAAGGGAAACGGAAAAAAGAGAAGAGGTGATAGAGAAAAAAAGAACTGGAGAACAGCAAAGTAAAGGGAGGAAGAGTTAACCGCCAGGGGTGGGGGGGGGAAGAGGATACTTTACCCCATAGGGTTTAGCGGCTCTCTTCTGCCTTAACAATAATCCCGAGTTCTCAACTTCTCTCTCTTCTTCAACTTAAGTTGCGTCGAGTTGGACTAAAGCGATTCATATCTCAATCCTGTCTTTCAATCATGGCCAGCTATTCAACTAGTTTTTCAAATCCTGACTCACTCACAGAGCTCTCAAGGATAATAGAGCGGACGGTAAGCGCTGGCTCTGAAACAACACTCTTGGCATAACCTCTGACAGCTTCTAGCTTGTTGATACTGGTCGTTTGTTTCGCAAATCTGGCTCCATGCCCTCGAGAGCTCACTTGCAGCGATCCTTACCTTTGTATCATGACAGTTTCCAAAATGCTCTGGATAATCTATCAGAGCAAATTGTGAGTGAATCAACAATCTCAAACCCATTTATATTTGCTTTTTTTTTCCTATTCTTTTTTCGCTTTTCGTTTCTGACCTTCTGCAGTTCATTGCAAAAGCCTTCTTGGAAAAGGATTACGAGGCTCTCAAGGCCACTAGTGCCGCTCCCCAGCCCATCAAAGATGTTGCAATGAGCGATGTGAAGCAACAGGTTGAACCTGACACTCAAACTCCCCCGATTGGGAAAGTCGAAGTGGTCACAGAGCTTGAATCCAGGCCTAAAACAGAAGAAGATCCATCTGCGAGCCAATCACTTCCGGCAGAGATCAAGCCCGACATCCAATTGGACGATGATGTAGTTGTCAAAAAAGAAGGCGACAATACTGCCCCCGATCAATCGTTCCCCGGACCCAATGAAGATCTTACTTTTGATTCAGTCCTCAATGAGACTGGTGGCACAAACGACTTTGGTCTTAGTTTAGACTTCAACGATGATGACATGGGCAATCAAGCTTTCCTATCCGGGTCAAATTTCACAGCCTCTGGCGCTACTGGTGGCGCGGACAGATTGAACACGACTCAACCTTTGGGAACTACTTCGGGTGTCCCTGCTGGGGGTGGTGCGTTTGACATGGAATTGCAGAAGACCGAGGGAGATGACGGCAATTTCCAACAGGGTAACTCCGGGGAGGATTTCATGGGGCCCGCTGAATCAAATTTCGACGATTTGTTCATGGACACTGATAATTTCGGAGAGAATGGCGGGGATTTCAATCAGCTGGAGGGGGATAGCTTGATGAATGTTAATGAGCTGGACGATAATTGGTTCAACTGAGCAAAATTCAAGGGGTTCACGCTAGCGGAATCTATCTAGTCTAGATAAGAGCAATGGCCAGTGTGGGGGGAAAAGGTATCCTAGGATCTGCATGTGTTCGCATTTGGCAATGGCGGTACTAAGCATAGATCTAATGGTACCCAAGTACATTTCCTGATTCTGTGACTGGGAGCGTAGATTATTGTATATTCGTGGTTCTTTTTTTATTCCTCAGATTCAAGGCTTGTCCTGATCTGGTAGGTGCTGTGGAACATCCTAAGAGAACAGCATTTACTAGCCGACAGCTCTGATCAAAGCCACTATTATAGTTCAACAAAGAATCCAAGTCTTTGGACCTTTAAGGATTAAGTTCCGACACGACACCAAGCCAAGTATGGATTAATGTCAAAGAAGATAGTTGAGCCACCTTTTATCCAGGCCCACAGCTCCTACGCAGCTTCCACCAAAAGCATGAACCCTTCCAGTGGTGACACCGAGCTTATTGTGCGACAGGGTCATAGCGTTAACACATTTGAATCTGAACTATGTTTCTCATCAATTCAGTAGGGGGGATAAGGTCCATTTTAGATTTATATAGTACGGAGCACTAGTAGCATCTGGCTTATAAGTCCGGTGACGTAGGTTAAGATCGGCGCAGCTCGTGGAGAAGCAAATCAGGGCAGGAAAGTCTAGATGGTGATCACCCCAGACAAAATGAAAGCACACATTAGGGTTTCCCAAAATAGATCTGCGGTGACATGCTGCCCGGAGAGTCTATGCAGAAGGTTGCCATGTGATGAGGTCACTGTCACAGCCCTGGAGGGAGATATGGCAATGACGTCATATCAACAGCATTCAGTATAATACTCCGATACGCCTAGGATTTACAGCACAGAGGTGATGGTGACGAACTAGAATTGATCACCCACTTTGTCAGGGTCTGTCTTCCGACCATTCACATCTCACCTTCGCGTAAACGTGCAGTGGACCTTGAAAACCATGCCCTATAACGAGCCACTATAGCCACATAGCCACGTATGGCGTGTGCAGGTCATGTGGAAGATGTATGAGAAGACGGCTAGGAATTCAAGGATTAGTAATGATGCTTTATATGGTTCCAAAATCCATCGGATACGGTATCATGACCCTCAACATATTAGACAAGACCTTGCTAAAGACAGTACACAATCAAAGGACTCAGTCCCCGCCTCTCAGCCTACCTTGGTAATCTCGGTCTTCTACAGTAGGAAGGCCAAGATACCCAGGGGCTGGGTGTCAGCACTACCCTTGTGCCGTGAAGCCGTGAGGTCGTTTGCATAGGCCGTAAGATCCGAAGCTTTGAAAACTCTAGACCTTAGTGGAATGTTTCTCCACAAAGATTAGAGAAATGCCGAGCGAAACCCGTAAACCGTAGAGGATAGACGTGTGGCCCGGATCGCCGGATATGAGACCCTCTAGGGCTTTCTCTCCCCCGGGCTTTCTCAATGGTGTTGTCATCGAGTTATTTACTGTGCTTCTTTAGCACCTTTTTGCTTTTGGTTCTCTTTTTTTCTTTCCCGTGGATCAGGATTCCTTTTTAAGACGTTCGCCTTTGCGAGCTAATTTCACAGGTCCTGTTAATCACCTGCGACGCCACATTACGCCTTGCCAGCGGAGCCAAATAATAAAGATCAAGAAAAGAGGAAAGGGAGAAGGGACCACAGTTCCGATTCTAGCAGCCAATCCTACACATCGAAATAGAGATCTGCAAGATGATCAGAGTGGACTGCTTATGAAGTCAGCACCCCCGAGAATTCCATCTTCTTACGTCTCCTTGCTTGAAGGGATTCAAGGGATCAACAAGAAAAAAAAAAGAAAACATTGTCTCACAACATTAAAGATCGAAGGTATGTTGAGTCTGTCCTGCGCATTCGCATTCCCTGCAATTTGGATTTATTTTCACGTTGGACCATTCTTGTCTATGCCCAATTTGTCGACAAAAGCATATCCAAGGGAGACGCAGCGTACAAATTGAGAACTTCTCCGAGATGCTCAGCGGACCAACATATCACGATGATGGGTGCTGACATTATGCCTCTGCCAGCGCAGTCATCTTCGCGGTCGGCCTCTAGCAACCCCACCCCGCACTCGGAGCTCACAGGGACTCCGTCGCTAGGAGTATCAATTTCCAATCTCCTAACACGGTCGGCTCGTCGCCACACGGTGTATATCGAAAGTCAGAACCCTAAAAGGTTTTGCCGAGACTCAATCTTCAAAAAGCTGGCGGGTTCACGTGAAAACGCTAAGCGGTTTCTTCGCTTGCGGTCATCTGGAATTCAGGCACCTTTGCAACGTCCTTCCTGTGGTGTACGACCAGTTTCGGAGATAATATTTTCGCCGATATCGGTCGAATTGGAGAACGAGATGCGATCGGATTCGTCATCTACCGAGGTCCTGCCTCGCCCAGCACATGAACGCCACACTGTGACTACCGATACTACCACGCCATTTACTCCCTTGCGAAATGAGAAGATTGTAGCCACTGGGAGTGGCATTTCTGTTGGTATTGCCCTCACAGAACCCGTTCTTTACCTGCAGGGCTATGATCAACAAGACCCAAGCAGTAAAAAATCCGCAATTCTGCGGGGACAGATGCATTTGAAGGTTACCAAATGTGTCAAGATTAAAAAGATATCAATCTGCTTCCGCGGCCATGCTCAGACTGATTGGCCAGATGGTATGAATCTACCCCGTAGAATCAAACTGAAGCAGGAGCTGATCCTGTACAGGTATTCCCCCTAAGAAGATCCACTTCCATGACAAGAAGGATCTCTTCACGCACGGTGTGGTTTATTTCAACCACGGGGACACAGCGCTCATGCAAAATGACTATGGTGCGCATTACTATCAGCATGCCAAACCGATCTCATCCGTGCCGGGAAAGGAGGGAGTGACGATGACCACTCGAGAACTATTTTCTAACCGCAATTCCACCGCTACACTTGCCGTACCAACCTCCCGAGAAACCAAACGACTTTCTCTACAATCCAATCGCAGGCATTCGCGCAGCTTCAGCAAAAACGAACACCCAGCTTCCCAACCACAGCCTCAGCGAAATTACCGCATGTTCCCGGTAGGTGATTATTTATACAGCTTCGAGTTTCCGATCGATGGATCATTACCAGAGACGATCAAAACGGATCTAGGGTCTGTGAAATACGACCTGGAAGCAATGGTCGAACGGTCAGGCGCATTTCGACCCAATCTCCTCGGCACGATGGAGGTTCCCGTGATTCGTACCCCTGCCGAGGGTTCATTAGAGCAAGTCGAGCCGATTGCGATTTCGCGGAACTGGGAAGACCAGCTTCACTACGATATCGTGATCTCGGGGAAGTCCTTCCCGCTAGGCTCGCAGATCCCGATTGCGTTCAAGTTGACCCCACTGGCGAAAGTAGAGTGCCACCGAATCAAGGTCTTTGTGACAGAGAATATTCAGCATTGGACGGCAGATAAGAGCGTGCACCGGTTGCAGCCAGCGAAGAAGGTGTTGCTATTCGAAAAACGAGCCGACTCGTCTAGTGTGAGCACGTATCCCGGCAGCTCCATGCGTGTCACTGCAGGCGGCGGTATCGACTGGGACCACCGCGCTGCTGCCGCAAGGGGGCAGGAGATTTTGGATCGGAATCGGACGAATCTGCTAGGCAATCTGTCCAACGACTCTAGTGTTGGTCCAACGGAGATGGAATTCAACGTGCAACTGCCAAGTTGCCACGAAATGAAGGGCCGGGACGAGAGTCAGCGGCTGCACTTCGATACCACATACGAGAATATTCAGATCAACCACTGGATCAAGGTATGTTAACATTGCTTCACTTTTGTTTCCGGGTCATAATAAAATTAACTGATCTGCGCAGATTGTCCTCCGTCTATCCAAGGTCGACGAAAGAGACTCCACAAAACGAAGACACTTCGAAATCTCTATAGACTCGCCATTCCACATCCTCTCTTGCAAGGCCACCCAGGCCAATATCTACTTACCAGCCTACACAACCCCATCTGAAGAACTGGTCCCCGCAGCCCAAGAACTCGAATGCGGATGCCCCGGCGCCCCTCTGGCACCCCGTGAGCAAGTCATTGCTCCAGCCACGTCCGATCGCGAAGACAGCAACCCTGCATCAGGACCCATCGCCCGTCGCGGCTCAACGGGCCACGACTTCTCCCGCAGCTTTACAAACAACTCTGGTGGCCTCGCCCGGCCCCCGCAAGCACACCTCGCGACACCCCCAGACGACCGTAACACACCCATTCCACCTCGTCCAATGCATCTGCTCCGTGCGCCGTCCTTTGCACCCCCCGCTTTCGAGGACGTCCCTCCCCCGCCACCGCTTGTTACTCCGCCTCCAGAATATAACACCATCGTTGGGGATGACCGAGAGGCCGTTCTTGAGGATTACTTCTCTCGTTTATCGTTTTACGAAGAACACGAGGACGATGACCGCGGTCGTGGCCGCGTCGATGTACCCCTCACGCCGGGTGGACGCGTCAACCGCAGCATGGACGTGCCCCGCGAATGGGTGCGACTCGAAGACTATTTTCAGTAATACCGCCTCTCGATAATTTCGCTATAAAAAGACAGCTGTCACGAGCCTTCCGAATCATGAATTTACGCTATCTATCCTTTGGATCTGAGTCTGGCTCTTCTTCTTCCTCCTCTTCTTCTCTCTGGGATTACATTTGTAACAACTTACTTTCTGTTCAACAGCACTTTGTTTATGATTAACGTGCGGCTATACTTTTTGGTTGTTGATGCCGGACTTGGTCTTTTCTACGATGGTCGGGGACAAAGGGCGAAATGGGTAATTTATTCAGGCATCTCTTATGGATTCATGTAGTAAACTGAACTATGATCATCAAGTATCAAAATCATGCCCAAATGCCCAAGAACTACTAGTATGGTAAACATCTATAACAAACATGGACACCTTCCCAGGTTACCTATCTGTACATGGGTAGTAGAACCTGGAGATAAGAGCTGCTGTGTCAGCGATAAGGCCGGGCAACCTTGGTTCCAACTGCCTTCCCCGGTTTAGCTCTCCCCACATCCCTAAAGTCTGTCACGGCTTATTCTACTCTTTCTCTCCTTCAATTGCCTCTCCCATCACAGTACTTGTGCTTTGCTCAAATCGTCCCCCTGAAGAACTACAAAGCTAGGTCATACAGTGTCCCTTGGCGTACTTCGGGACTTTTGAGGCAGACCACGCCGATTAGCTCACGCTTCAAACGGCATAGGTGAGTTGGTATATATGCTATAGATCAACAGAAACCAAGCCAGGAACAACTCTAACTAGTTTCAGTGAACAAAAAGTGGCTCTGGACCATCCTCAACAACCACATTCTTCAATACTCCGACATAGCGGGTTGTAAGGGGGCTTCCTGATGTCTGACCCTTGCATCTGGAGATTTACTCAGCAAACAAACTCCGCACGCTGCCATTATGGCTGTTGAGGTCATTCCTCTTACCGAGGCAGATATTCCTGGTGCTATTGAAGTAATTCAGCGGGCATTTGCAGACGATCCCTATTTTAAGTGGGTCTTCGATTCATCCAAGGTACGTTACATGTTGAGATGCAAATGCCAAACAAAGAAGAACAATGCACCTGTCTGCTCTCAATTACCAGACTAACATACACCTCTCTCGTGACGCGGTCAACATGGCCGACAGTTACGTCTTCTGAGAGACAACTCCACGCATAGTTCAATAAGCAGAGAAATTTTGATTCCCTCGCAGCACGTTGCCATTGGGGAATTAAGAATGCACTATTCCACGTCGCAAAGGAAACCCAAGATGCCCACTCCAAGTCCCACAGCGCCCCACTAACCCCCATCCCAATTCTCGGCGTTTCCTGCTGGCTAGCGCCCCACCCACCCACGCAACCAGAGAGCTGGTACTCCTGGTTTCAATCATGGACTCTATCCTTCAGCCAGGTGCTCAACAATATCTGGTACTTTGGCCGTGGCGGACTGCGCACAAATAGGTACTGGATTTGGAAACAGCGACAGGCCGAGGCCCAGGCTGCTATCTGGGATGATCCGCGCGGGTACTATTTCTGTAATATTGTTGCTGTTAGCCCCGAGATGCAGGGAAAGGGTGTTGGGAGGTTGTTGTTTGAGGCTGTTCTGAGAAGGGCGGATGATGAAGGGGTCAAGTGTTATCTTGAGAGCTCAAAGAGTGTACCTAATGTGGCGATCTATGAGCGCATGGGCTTTCACATGAGTAAGGAGATGGAGTGTCGGGATGGGGTGGATGCTTGCATGGTATGTACATTGTACTCGTTTTATAGTGTTTGGTCCTGGGGTTGGATTCCGCTTGGGTGCTGACTTCATTGTTGGTAGTTGTACTGCATGGTCCGGGACCCAAGAAAGGCATGATCCTATTCCTTTTGCATTTGCTCTTACGACTTGGCATGGAAGGTTGGGTCATTAGACGATTTTGAGTCATGGCTGAACTAACAGTACAATTATGGATGCGTTCGCAATGATATTCGAAGACAATTGAGTCGATATCATTTGATGTAAGGGTTTCACATCTCTAGCAATGAATGTCGTCTTTTCTAGTAATTCCCAAACCCGGTCCCGTTGGAAACCAACCCGACAATTCGACCCACCTATCTTCCAATCCACAAACGGGGCAAGATAGCTCGAATCTAATCGAATCTACGGAGTAATATTTGCGGCTCCGCAGATACTGAACCGTGGGATACGCCTCCATACTAGTCTATCCGTTGACAATGGTCCAACCTGGGGAATGATCCATTAACCCTCAGATCTTTCCCTCCGCTAGGATACTTACATGTGGATCTGTTTATATTGCTACACCTAGGCGAGAGGGGCAGTAGTCTCAGGGTCCACTTTTAAAGCTTATCCAGTCACATTCGTGCTGATCTGTCGAATTTCGAATGGCCTCGGATTCTCAATGGTGATTCAGACCCAGCCTGATTTCAACGTTCTAGGGACTGGTCGGACCTTTACGCGCTCGAAACATCATCGCTGCATCAGTGCTCGTGCGCTGATCGCGTCCAGATATATCTGAGCTTTGACGAACGTTAGATTTCCAGTAAAAAAGGATTTGGGGACGACGCTTTTGAGTCATTCGGACAAAGTCCCCATCTTGGCACTTTGTTGAAGCCGTGTGTCCTCCTAGGGCATACTAAAACACTGAAAAAAAGGAGCCTTCTTTAGTGTGTATTGCTTTGATCACGACCGTGTTTCTCCTTCTGCGACGAAAGCTATGAGCCCGACGACGAAGATCGGAGTCTGCTCAATCTTCTACTTCATCAACTACATCTTATAAGCTCAGATTCCAAGAGAATGAATTGCATCCACCCGATATAATCATGACTACCACACCTCATCGCGATGGAACAGACCAGGTCGTCAATCAACTAGCCGCCCTTGAGGCTACCTTGAGCAGCACATCAAGCAACAGCGACTCATCACTTATTGCTGTCCCCACAGCAGAGCCCCAATCAGTAGCACCTGGACCTCAATATAATGAAACAGAAGATGAAGAAATTTTCTACCATCTTCGCAGTCTGATGCCGGTCCCCTGCCTGCCTTAGTATACACCGGGCTATATAGGGAATCGCAAAAGCTAACTCTTGGACTGGAAGAGAGCTTTGTTAATTCCAAGTTTGATGTTTTCCTCGAAAGGGAAAGTCTCGTGTAAGCCTTGGCCGAGGTTTAGTTCTCTTCCTCCACCGTTTGTGCAGAGAAAGCTTGCTATGAGGCTTGAGGTGCGTTTCTAGGGACTCGGGACCAGGTTCAGGAGGGAGGTTTTCAGCTGTTGTACATGCAGGTTGGGATTGTTTTGCTTGAGCTCTTGTTCTGCATTATATGCTGTTTATCATATCATTTACAGGTACTGCAATTGGCTTGTTTGTTTCAAATGCTGTTATCAACTCTTGGATTTAATTCAAAAGTTATCTGACGGTACTTTGTAGGCTTATATTGCCTTTCGACCTACAGCATACCTTGTAGAGTGGTAAGCCCGGCATGTCTACTCCATACTAATCCCCCCCCCCTTTCTGGCCGTTTTTGCATGGTATACAAGAATCCTTCTCGCTATACTAGTGAGAAGAAAATGATTTTACTAGTACATAAAATGAAAATTCACGATAGCCGCACGTATTCCATTTTTTGCAAGTAAATGTCATGTCTATTCTTCTACGAAGTACCATCCCCAACTGGGTCATCTGCAGGTCATCCCGACAGCCGCCAAGCTTGGGAAATCTTTTGCCCACGCCAACATCAACACACATGACATGCCTATGCACACCATAAAGCCTCTTCATGAATTTGAAGCCAGCCCCCACTCTTGCAGAGCCAACTCACCAAAAGGAACTATATCGTCGAGTTGTGAAGGTTAACGACTTGGTGGTCATCTCCACGGAATTCGGCAGTTATATTAAGCCATGGGATCATTTTGGAATATACTCGACGTAGTAGTGGGTGGGAGGGGAACAAACACTACAGATAGTTGAATCCGTGGCAATGAGATTGGCAGTTTAAAAGGCTTGTTGAATAGGAACCACTCCAGCTGTTGCCTTATTGCATAATCCTCTAAGACTTGGGTACCTACATGTGCACTGGAATTGTGCAAACCGTTCACTTTGCATCACACGATATAGACGTGAGCGTGAGATATGGCAGGCGAAAATGAAATCGATGCTCATAGCTTAGATGGACAGCCTGCGTAATTTGGATCGAATTTTGATCAAATAGAACGATATGCAGACGCACATTCCCTGCCACTTGATGCCTGTGACATACGGAGTCCGTAGGAGTGCACAACGTTGCAAGCGGGTCCATTTACGTTCTAGACGAGACAGTTAAAATGTTCAGTGATCGGGCCCGGCGGCAAAACAAGAAACGAGATATTGTAGCTAGTTGAGATAGGGTAGAAGTGCCGGGATTTGTTCTTTATCAACGATCTCGACATTACGCATCTCGGTCATGACCCTCCTAGGAGGAGTGAGTGTGCAACCGGCTGTGGCTTCGGAACTCCGTCGATTTATGCCCAACAAGTAATCAATGTCGCTAGTGATCGTTTTTGGCTATATTTCTTGGATTGCTGAAGATGATAGCGATTGCACCTCACAAGGTTCCTATCGGCAGGTTTCTTGTCCTTGGTGTAAAATGTGGAGTCACGACAGAGTGAATCCACGGGGCGCGTGAATTAGGGCTAGTGGTATAGGCTAGAGATATTGGGTTCTTAGAAACCAATCATTCTTCGCTACTTGACCCTTCGAGGGTATCCTCTCGTCAACTTTCGCTTGCCGAGACACTATCTGCCTCTGGTATCTGCACGAGACCCAGTCTCATGAAAGAGAACAGTACGATTCTACCACGGAGAGTTATCAGATCAACGGTGGTCCCCCTACGGAGGAAATAATACAAGTTTTTCGTCAAATAAAAACGTTCCGATTTTGAATATCCAGCGATAACGTATGATCCGTCACATCAACGAATCGCATGGTTTCCGCCCCAACCAAGTCCGTCGCCATATCCGGCAAACCGAAAACAAATGAAGCCAGAACAAGTGTGCACAACCTGGTGTCATGTTCTAATTGGGTATTAATATTCAGGCACACCGACTCAACGGGCTTTCTCGATGCCACGGAGCCATACAGGTCTAGATGCGCGGATTTTTTTTTTCTCCTCAAAGGATGAGACCCCTGTCGGTGGCTCAATCCTGGAAATGATAGATATACCGCTAGTGCCACAATCATGGCTATCAAGATCCTTGTCTGTTGTTATCCGCGGTATAGTCGTTGAACTATTGAGTTGTGGGCAATCAGTTGATGTTTACGGAGTAGTTTTTATGAACATGTGAAGACACATTGAAACAAACCACGTTAGCTTGGTAGGAATTCTTAAAGCATGAGAGTTCAGACTACAGTCTATACAGCGACCGTGTGCTACCTATCCATAATTTCTAATCAGAGATGGATCTAGAATATGGAAACCCCCTGACCAAATGAAAAAAAAAGAAAAGAGGAAATGCATGGTGCACAAACCACCTCGACCTTGGCCTAGCTTCTATCGATCATTATCCGTGCCACTTACCCAATTCGGCCGTCGGCATGGTTTCCATCATCTTCAGGAGTGGGATCAAAGGGTTGGCGTTCGGGATTTGTATGAAGGACGTTGTACGGATTACTCGCCCTGATATAAACAGCAGTATTGATATCACAGCGTGTTATTGCACTCTTCGATACAGTTTCCCAGAAGCGCCCGACCTGGCACACAAGCTCATACACAGCGAACACCCCCGCTAGAACTCGTGAAAATTGATGAACGCCATGCCGACAATCAATATGCACCGAGCAACCCAACCCAGTGGCCTAGTATTATATTGAATACAGTCCAAATGGAGGAACGTGTAGTCTTGGCGTTTGAAGAGGAAAAATGGGGAAAAGGAAACTTCAATGGTCACTTTGGTTCTGGAAAAAACTCGAACCAGTGTGAAATAAAAAGAGAAACTGGGAAACCTGCATGGGTGAAATGGACTGAGCACACTTCCACCTCATAGGTTCCCGGGGGGGGGGGGGGGGGGGGGGGTTCTTTCAGTCGATGAATCCAAGTGTCCTATCCAGTATCCACTGGATAATACCATCTACTTCGACCAGGAATTAGTGTTCCAAGTATTTGCAACAAGCGATCCATGGAACCCATACATTCTAGGGCTCGCTACTCTCAGTGACACGGACGCATGGGCCGCCGGTCCCCTCTAACGCTGTTTCGGAAGGCCATCTATTAGCCGTGGGATCCACCACCTCGGGTTCCTCGGGTGTCAAAGGCCCGAGATTTGTTTTGCATCCCTGGATACATTTCCCAGGAGAAGGAGCCTGTTCCTCTCTTTTTAGTTGACAGTTGCCGTATCTCAGTTCTTTGCACAAGGTACATGTGGCATCGTTATGAGATAATCCCATGGGAACATGGAACGGGAACAAGGGGAAATTGATGCATTGATAAAAGGAGTAAGCTAACTTAGGTAAAGAACTCACATCGCTAGACGAGACTGTATAGCGTCCCTACAGGGGGGGGGGAACCGGTGTGCACTAGATCCAATCTCTACTTTCTCGACCATGACCCCGGAGATTGCGTGGTCTTCGCGTTGTGCTGAGAATTCAGTCTATTAATTCTACCCCTGTATTATGGCCCAACAAGTAGGAAAAATACGTTCCAATCCTTTTTCCGTGCGTCCTATCATGAAAAAGCATGGACTCGATCGGGGGAGAACATCCAACCGTTGTGGGCGGACCTGCCGAAGCTGCACGAAGAGACATGCCGTAGGTAGAGATAGTGGCCCTGCTGCAGGAACTACAGGAGTCCTGCATTCAATGCTCATTGTGGGACATCGGTTGCTAAATATCTCTCAATCTGCTTGTTGTCACTAGGTCATTTGATTTCCCTGTTTGAGGCGGTCTCTTTCCGTACTGCCCCTTTTCCCCCTGGCCTAGACAGAGCAGGATGTGATGGCAGAGAGAATAACTACGCTGCACAAATAACCCCTGGAGAGTTGAAGTGAGTAGATTGGATTACCTCTCTGTAAAAAATTGGATCCAAACATTATTAGGAACAAGTCAGAGAAGTCGCAGAACAGATATCCGTTCCGTGAACATGAGTATTTCAACAAGCATGTGATCTAGAGACTTAGATTGAAATATGGGGCGAGTGCTTGTACAACAATTCTTTTTTTTTAAAAAAAACCTGGTCCCTAGAAAGCAAAGAGCCGGTCATTACCCCATGGTCCAAAATCGAGCCAGGGCTTTTGAGATGGAACCTAGGACAACAAACCTCCGGAAGGCCAAGAAGTCAGAAGGTTCACCCGTCTAAGTCGCATTGATGAAACCCAGACGCCCAAATAAGGTACCAGACGCTAGAAAAGACAATCGAATTGTAAAATACAAGAGTGGAAATCACAAAACAAAAAACCGCATTGCAAAACCAATGAATATCAAGACAAAGCAGCCCACACAATCCGAAGTATATCCACGACGCAAAGTTTAAACCGGCATGGGTTTGCCCCACAAACTCAAATAAATGAAGTGGAATTTGAGAAAATTATCAATCATAGTCACGTAAAAAAAAAACAGGTGGAGATGTTTTCCCAGAGAGCCGCTTTTCTCGGTGGAGAGTCGGCTCTTCCCGAATTTTCTGAAATAGTTCCAGATGGAGTCTTCCGCGCCAAGAGGGATAGGAGAGAGCGGGATGGGAAACCTTCGAAAATGCCCTTAACCGAGTTTCAGATGTGCAATTTTGATTTTGAGTACCCGGGAGGCCCAAAGGATCGACAAACGTTCAGACAATCATCGAGCAGACGAGCAAAGGATACATTTGCCAACCACCACAATGAAGCGGTCGTGTGGGCTGTCGTTGCAGGTGCCATTGTCTTTTGTCCCCTCCATTTCAGTGCGAAGAAAGTGGGCGGCGGGATTGGAGCAGGTGGAATAAATGTAATAGTTTTTGAAAAAGTTGCACATCTCGATCCCATCGACCGCTTCGATCTGGAGGATGTGCGATGCCGGTGAATTGGGGAGGGTTGTGGAGTTGGGTGCGATGGCCAGAGGCAAATAGCACCGGAGAAGGAGAGTCAGAGTGAGTTGAACCCGTTTTAAACGATTGGATTATGACGGATGAGAGGTAGATATTCATGAAGATGTAGAGAGTAGAAAAATGTGCAACGCAGATGGAGGCTTCGACCAGATATAAAAGTAGTTTGCTTTGGAGAGTGGATGCTATGAAACCGAATGGCACGGAAATAGATAAAACAAAACAATATTAAAATTAAATTAAAAGATAAAACACGAAAAGAAAATAAATTAAAAGGAAAATCCAGAAAATTCAAGAAAATCCAAAGACATTCAGCAGAAATTTACTTCCATCCATAAGGATGGGTAAAGATGCAGTCTACAGTACTCCGTACTGCACGGCATCCTCCCCACCATCCCCACCCCCCCTAACAACCCTTGTCAAGAGAAGCGGGTCTTGCATAATGAAAGCCTTTAATGTGTGTGATCGTTGGAAGGGAAATTTTTTTTTAAGCTTTGAGTTCCTTTTGTGCATTCATTTAAAAGGGAAGGCTTGGTCGGAAAATCAGGAGAAGGCCTCGGGAGCATCACAAAACATCGGGTAGATGGGAGATCGACACGGTTCCTCGCAGCCGTTGATGCTTCTAAATTCACACGTGGCGCTAGTCGGGATCTTCATGCATGAGACAAGTACCTTCGGCAATCTCTCAAATCTTGTGTGAGAACTGAAGCCAAATGGGCATAGCCTTAGCACTGCTAGTTCGTTTTTTTAAAAAAAAAACTTTCACGAGTCAGGACAAGAAGGATTTCTCTGGTGAGTAGAGAGTCTGGTGACGATAGTTGTGACATTGTGCAAGATTGGGCCTGCTGAAAAACCGGAGAAAGGATGTATTTGGCAATCGGAGCCGGTGACAGGGTCTAATAATCACGCGGAGGGGGGTTTTTTCTATTTTTTTTTCCTTTTTGATTTATTTTTTTATGGATTAAAAAGAACGGAGCTTCGTGCCTGGGCTTCTGAGCCACATAAAAATCGACCTTGCGGGACAGCTCCCACTAAGTTGAGCCCTAATCAGATTTGAAGGGTTTCGAATATTGTAGCGTTCATGATCCTAGATTGAAAAGGACGATTGTTCGAGATAAAGACCAGGAATCGAGTACACAACTATCGCAAATCGAACAAAGAATTGGTAAAGGAATGCGACCAGGACGCAGATTGACTAGTCAGGGTTGTTCAAGGTAGTAGTGATGATGGCAGCAGACTAAAAGATTGGAGAGCTTGTATTCGATCCATTGTATACGGAAAAAAGCTGTTCGTCGTCCTTATGAAACCTGTATGCCGCAAATGAGAAATTTAATAGAAAGGGGGGTGTACACGCCGTAACAGTGTTAGAGCCTTCTGTTTTACGTTAGAATCAAAGACCCCAGAAGCCACGCTGTATATATGAAACCTTGTGCAAATAGAAACCTTCCATTTATGCCCCCTTCGGTTGCTTGGTAGCCGGTGGTTAGGCAATCTACATCACACATACTCCGTATTCAATATCTGTCTTTACCTAGATGGGCCACTCATCGGGGAAACTGTTTCATTAAGATCAAACCAACTGTTCTGCAGGATTGCATCGCTGTACCCGTTATTAGAGACAATTTATCCTAACTGGCCAGCTGGTCTAGTGAACAAGTGGTTGAGAGGATCAGATCGACGAGCAGTAGATGGTGTGTCAGCAGGCCTGGATTGGTAAACCTCAGTCCTAAAACAGGTGATGGTGCGACAAGGCCCCAGTTGCATGGTGAAAAGAGATCAGTCCACATACAGAAGTCTGATTCTATGGACGATACATCCCTGGTACATAGGGAAGTCGGGGATTACAGAAGCCAAGGGAACAGATAAAGATCAAAAACAGAGATAGATTGCAGCCTAACTAACAAACCTCATCTAGCCCCAAGCCTAAAGACTCCAGTCCAATAATAATGGCCAGCACGGCACCACATGGGGCGTTGCCCTGGTCTTTACCGCATTGCAAGTACATCGAAATGTGGAGACCGAAAAGTAGCCGTAAGTAGGTTGTAGTAGCTTGCCGCAGCATCTGGTAGAGCCTCGTCAATGTCGAGTAATGTCTCTGAATTGGGTTGAAAAGATCAAATGGTGCAGAGAATGTTGCTGTGCCGTGACCCCTTCTAATGTATCATTGACATGGCGCGTTTTGATACTCCGTAGTTCGGCTTGGGCCGAGTTCGGACCCGAGTCACATGGGATTTTCCGGGTCATTGCCTTTTTGATCTAGCGTTTCCGATCGATTTCCGAATGACTAAGAGCGTGTCCACGGCAGCTCTGGACCTCGGGAGATAACCTAGCAACGACGCTAAACCTACAAAGGCGATTGCAATCCCGTGATCTTGAAAGCGAAAACTGAGACACTTCCCCCTCGCATCAACGGTTCACACAGGAGTGATCCGACCTTCGATATTCGCTACAAGGGGCTATTGGCCGATTGAAACAGTGCCGCCGGAGTGCAGAAAGAGCCACGCGGCTATCGGCGACCGAAAGACCTACCGTCATCTCCTCCGCCATCCCACCGTTGTGGAGCCGTTGTCCACACACTCTCGACATTCGCGACCCGCCACCGCAACTGGAACTCCAACCGTTTATTGTCGCACTGCTTAAAGTCTTAGTGACCAAGCATCATGGGTTTCGGTCAGTTTGACACGATCTGCGAGAAGGCGCCCATGCCTTTGTGCTCCTTGGTGGGCCCAGCGTCGACGATCTCCGGGTCAACAGGCATCATATCCAACTGCTATGCGCGGAACATTGAGCTTGCAAATACAATCATATTTGAGGGTGCCGCGTGCTTCATGCATATCATGGCACTTAGCATGACAGTGATCATGATCTTGCACGTTCGGTCCAAGTTTACTGCCGTCGGTTCGTTTACTCCCTATTTGCTCACACTCGGCGCAAACTAGTTAACTTTTCCACTACTGCTAGGCCGTAAAGAGATCATCACCTTCTTCTACATCTACCTAGCTCTGACACTTTTCTCTCTTCTCATTGACGCAGGTGTCGTTCCGCCAGGGAGCGGCCCGTTCCCGTACTTCGTGGCTGTTCAGAACGGCTTGACATCTGCACTTTGCACCTGTCTTCTCGTCAACGGGTTTGTCGGCTTCCAGCTGTACGAAGATGGCACAGCCCTCTCCGTGTGGTTGATCCGAGTCCCCTCCGCAGCGATGTTCGCTCTTTCATTTGTGATATCGCTGGCGACTTTCAAGTCATGGGGTTCGATGGGCCCCAAGAATACTACGGGGCTGTTCGTGGTGCTGTACCTACTGAACGCCATCTCCATCGCTGTGTACTTGGTCATGCAATTGCTCCTAGTTGCGAATACATTGGATGACCGCTGGCCGCTGGGCAATCTCTCCTTTGGTGTGCTCGTCTTCATTATTGGCCAGGTTCTCTTGTATCAGTTTAGCGACACTATCTGCAACAACGTGAAGCATTATTTGGACGGCCTTTTCTTCGCTACATTCTGCAATCTCCTCGCTGTCATGATGATATACAAGGCAAGTTCATGTTTCGAGCTTGTGGCGATGGTCCTGCTAACTTTCTCTAGTTTTGGGACTCGATCACGAAGGAGGATCTGGAATTTTCTGTCGGTGTCAAGCCAAACACCTGGGAGGTTAAGGACCACTTATCTGAAGAAGAGCGCCGAGCGACTGTCTATCCTGACAATAACTCTGAGTATGCGGGTAGCCTGTACCACCATCGCTCCTCAACGTACGGTCATCAAAATTATTGACCCGTCTTGCCTCTTTACTTCTTTCGTGTTTCAAATTATTATTCTAATTCCAGCGCTGCATATGTGACTATTGACCTCACAACACCTCATTTATTTCTTAAACTTTTTCCATGGAAATTCAAATACTTCCATCAGTTTTGGCGTGCTAAATCATCCTCTAGGTCATGGACATAAATTATCTCATCGTATCAAAGATAATGTGGTGAAATGTCGTCGGCATATTCGAAGCATTTTCCCGCCTTTTCCTGCCGTCTTTCCAGAGATCTTGAGAAGGAGAAAGATATCTAAAAAGGCGCCTAAATTTGTAACTTTTACTCCGTAAATGGATTGTTATTGACCAACTTGGAATGCAATCTCTGGGAGATATTTTCGCTTCTGGCTCTTCCGAGCTTTAAGGTTTGGCGTCGAGACATTTATCACTAGCGTTTTTTTTCGTTTTTATACAACACACGAGAAAGAACTCCATTTTGAACTCAATTTGCATTGCTGATATCTCGACCGCACATCATAGGTTCTCTCTATTGTATGTCTCGGACTTGGCCTGCTCCGTTTCGACCTAGCACTAAGTCCATTTAGGAGAAATTGGCGTCCATCATTTCTCTGCAAACTGTTTTCGAGGCACTAGACCGTCAGAGATAGACTACACAGCAAGAAGCTGCACGGATGATGTAAAAAATGCGCAAGAATAAGTTAGAAGTGCTACCATGCATTTATATTGCATCCTTCCGTGGCATTTGGCGGCTGTGCAAAACGTCTGAAGCAAATCCCGAACATCTCGGAGCCGCGTCACATCGGTTCAAGGGTGTGATCAGTAGGCAGACGATCGTTGATAGAGTGAAACAGGCGATTTATTCCAGGACTGTCACGTTCCACAGTGAAGAAAGAGCCCACTGAGACAACTTCGGGCACCACTGCTAAGAAAGGCAAAGTGGAGCGAATACGGCGGCGACGCCTCGTTCTGGACGTTGCGGGATGATCAAGGCCCGTTGAGGTTTTTCTTGCCTGCGGAGAACAAATCTCGATACCGTGGTAGTCAGGATTTTGTGCATACAATTCGCTGTGGCCTAGTACAGTGCACGCGACCAAAGTCTAAGTAAGTGGTCAGGGGAGGGGTCTCATGGGTAGAGTTCTCGTAGAACGTTCTTAAACGGCATTTAAAACAAGGGGAAGTTGTGGAACAGCATGTTCACATCGGTATTTGTGATTTCAGTCAACGACGACAACGTCATCACCATCCATGAAGTCCCCCGTCTGTTTGGGCTTTTGTGTCTTGTGTTCCACGTGGTTGCTTAATGTCATCTTTCTTCGTCGGATCGGTGGATGAATCATACCAGCCCTTGTCTATCGACTTAACCAAGACCGCGCACGCTTCACTAAGCATTGCGAAAAATGCAGGATTCTCTTTGGACAGAAACATGGTAATATGTGCGCTAGTTTCGTCAGTAGCCTGGTCGTTAATTGCCCTGGTCCACAAAAGTCCTGGACTTTGGGATTCCTCCCCACGTTCCACCTCCGCTGGCAATGCACAGAACGTCCTATTCCTCGACCTGATGATTTTTTGACTGAATGATGTTTTATTTGCTGATGTGTTTTCAACCAGACTCGTCGCACCTTTTCCAAGACATGTGTAGAAGTTCACACACCCAATTCCACGTTCTTCTTTGACATTCGACAATTGCACGAGACGCTGGTGCAATTCCGACGTGCGCGCGAGACAACTGACAAACTCAAGGTGCGACGATACCCATCCAAACCCTTCTGTGAGCTTCTGGCGCTGCGTATACATGGCTGCGCCGCCAGCGGCAACAGCACCAGCCGCGCCGGCGAACATAGCATACTTACCCCATCGTTGCCAGGAAGGTTTTGCAGCGGCATCGGGTGGGGAAGGTAATACTTGGGCTGACTTTTGTGAGGGTACATGGGTGGTTCCCTGGTTTGATACATCGCCCTTCCCACCGTAACCGAACAATCCTGCAACCTCGGAGAAGGTGTTGTAGGCAGTTGCAGCATTGCGGTAGTGACCTTCTGCGCCGTATGAAACGACTCCTGGTGCTATTCCCAGGAATGGAGTATCAAATGCAATCACTCCTTGTATATGAGGGAACATGAAAGTACCCTGTTCCATGATAGATTCGATACAACCTGTCAACCCGGGCTGTGTATTTGAAGTCGGATTTCGAGTAATCGGTTGTTCCGCTGCCAAAAGAAGGAGAGCCTCCGCTCCTACTATCCCTCCCATTGAGTGACCGATGAGAACAACATGGACCGAGGGATCGACAGTGGGCGATGCGGTATGGTTGGCAACTTCGAGATCAATCACAGTATCTTGCAACCTGCAAAGGTTAAACACTGTCAGTCAGCTAAGCTTGTATCTATTTACATAAGAGATAGAGCCATGCCTTACCAATCTCGCAATCTCGCCACGCATTCTTTCAGGTCGCCTTTAGTCTCATACTTCGGGTAGACAGCAGTGGCGACCTCAATCGCAGGAAGTGCTTTGCTTGCGAGGACGCGCAAATGCTTAGGGAACGTGCCAAAAGTATCATCGCCGCCCTAGAATCGGAATTAGTCAGTCAACGTAAGTTTCAGGCTAGAAACAAATATCCTTGAGCTGAGATCTATGGTCTATTGCGAGTGTCCACGTCTTCAGCAAACAGGCAATTAGCATACCTTAAAGCCGTGAATAAAGACGAGTAGCAGAGTCTTTCTCATTTTGAAATCCTCAATCCTCAGACAGTCATATTCATAAAATAAACATAAAGAGTGACTCGACCAAGCTGTGGATAAGAGAAAGCCAAGACCGGCCTCTCCGTCTCCCGGGCTCCAGGGGGGCTCCAGGGCTGTTGATTTGAATTACGTCATGATATTCAACCACGTGACTAGGCAGCACGGCCATATTTTCATCTGAAGTCAATACGAAGATTCCAATTCTGTAAACATTTTTGTAGGTTTTACCCAGCTGAATAGTACTCTTTTGTTCAAATTTAAATTTCTATTTCGTTCGACTTTTGGATGCTACAAAATATTTATCCCGAAAGACCACATGGACCCAAACGCTTCATTCCAACTCAAAAACTCCACTTTGATCCGGAAATCCGGCATATGTCTCATCCCCAACGCCATATTAAAGACAATGCTTCCAAATTTGTGGCCGACCCTCAGAGTTGACCCTGGCTCAATATCGAACTTAGTATGACACGGCACACGCGGTGACATGACCAGGCCGCAAGCTTTCCATGCCACTGCCGGTATGCCCAATGGCATTACCAGTTGCAGAAGGGGCGCAAGATTCCTTCGTACTCGGTGGTGGAACGGTTGCCCCGGGAGCGGTGCTAACAAGTCCCTTGGATACAGCAAAGCAGGAAGAGCGATCGTGGTTGAGATTCTCGCCATAGAATTCATCGAGAATTGGGTGAAGCATAACAGTCTGCTTGTGAATGGTGACAACTGAGTTGGTTGGGACTGATACCCAATTGTCTGTGTATAGAATTAGTATATGTCCATAGGTATGGAGAGAGGGAAGGGTTCTCACGTCGTTCAAAGGTGATGGGCTCACTAGCCACGAGGACAATGTCGGCACCTTTATCGTGTCGCTCCATCTTGAAGTGTCCTTTCGTTTCACCTTCCTTCCACTTGGTACCAGAAGAGAAATACAAGCTGGCAGGTTCGTCTGTTTTGCTGCTGACGTACCGAGTGCAAACAACAGTATGGCCATCTGTCACAGCAAAGTTCAACAAACTCCGAGTCTCAACTCCGGTGACATTGTATCGCTTTGGAATTTCCTTGACCATTTCATTGATTCTTGCAATTGTCTTCATCAAAACACGACGTAGTAGAGCCTGTCCGAATCCCTCAGGACCGGGGTCAGAGCTTGGATCGACTCCTTCTTTTTCTAACAGGTCAAGGAACAGGGCGAATGCCCACTCACTGTCGGTGCCACCTTTCACACCTAAGTACCACTTGTCGGCTAGTGAGCTTCCTAGCGTACGCTTGATGTAGCTCCATCCGCCGATACCGCCATTATGCATCCACATCAGGGACTGGTGCTGAAATGGGTGGCAATTGTTCTCGGCAAGAGCGCCCTCGGTTGTTGCGCGCACATGCGCAAATATCAGCTTCGAGCAGGTCTTTGCAGCGAGTCGCTCTAGATTCTCACAATTCCAGGCAGGCAGTGTTGAAGTAAAGATGCAAGGTTCTGGTCCAAGCTTGGGATCTGTGTAGAACCCCACGCCGAAGCCGTCGCCGTTGACAGGACGGCGATTATCCTTGATACTAAATGTCAGTAGGCTGCGACATGCTAACCACGTAGGTCTGACCCAGCGAGATAGGATAACCTACCAGTCTCAGACGTGAATCGTATGATTGAGTAAGGATTGAATGACTTGGCTCAGTTACCAGCTTACTGAGACGGATCTCGTTTCGCCCTTTGTATATCTGATCGAGGTATTAGCTTTGGGCCCAAATGCTTGGAGGGGTGAGCCTGACCAGGAATCGACACATGTTTCGTCTGGATCAAACGCAATCGAGATGAAACAGTATCAAATCCCACCTTCAACTTTACTATTAACTTCAAGATGTATACCAAACTTGTAGTTTGAGCGAAGCGAAAGGATGTATGGGTGTCGGGGCGGATGAAGAGTTACGGATTATAGGGAACCGGTGAGGTGCCTAAATGTCAACCACGATCTTACAGTCCAAGAAGAAGATATTGGAGCTGTAAGTTTTGCCACGGATTGTAAGGAGGGAAGGTTGTTTTCCCTCGAAATCAACACAAAAGAATAGTCACTCCCCCTGCACAGCACGTCATCTATCACGTGACCAGTCTGTTACGGGAAGCCACACGGCCACTTGCGCAAGTCACGGGGACTGTTGGTTGTGCTTGATGTCACATGTGCAGTGATCCGAGGTCATCACCTTATCTCCATTCTCTATTGAATGCTACCACAACAATAATGAGTGGGAGGATACTCTCCCATCGGCTAGGACCGCTATTGCGGAACGGTCACCTAACTCGCCATATTCATAATGCAGGCTCAAGGACCGGCGGCCTATTACGCGCAGATGGTGGCGCTGCACTCAGAGGACGTGCATGGCCGGTGGGTGCAAATGCCATTCACAATGTCCCTGCTGTTCGATCTATCTCGTTTGCTCGCATGATTCCGAAGCTGGCACTCAAGCTTGTCAGGATTCCGGCCATGTTTGGCGGTGCAACAATCGCGGGTCTAGCTTATTTCCAATACCAAGCAACTCGTATGTCTGTCATGGATGAATATCTCCGCAAGCGAAATCTCATGCTGATTTAATCTCACAGAGGCGGGTAACTATGTGATGGATGTCTTCAAGCAAGCCTCGGAGACAGCGGGGAACACAGCTTCCACCTTGTTCCAGGGACTGCAGGATATAGCGGATCAGACACAACGCGGGTGGGATAAGACTACGGGAGACATCGAAATACCCGACTGGCTGCAGAAGATTCTACGTCCTGACGAGGAGTCTGAGTCTGGAAAGGGCGATTCATCAGGTGGTGGAGGCAAGAAGCCGAAACAAAGTCGGGCTGCCACTGCTGCCGCCGCTACTACTATGGCGTTTGGATATGATCAATCGGGGGAAAAAGATCTACGGCCGGAGAGGGATGCAGCGGAGGATGATCAAATGATGCTGCTCACACGCAAAATGATCGAAATTCGAAATATTCTCCAGACCATCGGCCAGTCCGGCACCCTCACTCTTCCATCGATCGTTGTGATCGGATCTCAGTCTTCGGGTAAAAGCTCAGTTCTTGAGGCTATCGTCGGCCATGAGTTCTTGCCCAAGGGCTCGAATATGGTGACTCGGCGGCCAATTGAGCTCACGTTGGTCAACACCCCCAACGCCCAGGCAGAATACGGTGAATTCCCGGCTCTAGGTCTCGGAAAGATCACAGATTTTTCTCAAGTTCAGCGCACACTCACAGATTTGAACCTTGCCGTTCCTGAAAAGGATTGTGTCACAGACGATCCCATTCAGCTTACGATATATTCTCCCAACGTTCCAGATCTATCTTTAATCGACCTGCCAGGATATATCCAGGTTGCTGGCCGAGATCAGCCCCCGGAGCTCAAACAAAAGATCGCCGATCTTTGCGATAAATACATTCAGCCACCAAATGTCATTTTGGCGATCTCAGCCGCCGACGTTGACTTGGCAAACTCGACAGCACTTCGAGCCAGTCGCCGAGTAGACCCTCGGGGCGAACGGACAATCGGTGTCATCACAAAGATGGACCTTGTCAGCCCCGAACGTGGCCATGGTGTTCTTTCCGATAAAAAATACCCTCTTCGGCTTGGTTACGTGGGTGTTGTTACTCGGATTCCTCAGACAACAGCTCTCTTTTCTAGGGGCTCTGGAAACATTACCAGCGCTATTCTCAAGAATGAACATGCCTACTTCTCTGCGCATCAGAGTGAATTCGGCCCCCACTCTGACGTATCCGTTGGTGTTTCGACGCTGCGGAAAACGTTGATGCAAGTTCTTGAGCAGACCATGTCGTCTAGCCTGTCTGGAACTAGAGATGCTATCACCCAAGAGCTTGAAGAGGCAACCTATGAGTTCAAGGTTCAATATAATGACCGTCCTTTGAGCGCGGAGTCTCACTTGGCTGAGAGCCTCGATGCATTCAAGCACTCCTTCAAGGCATTCGCGGAAAGCTTCGGGCGACCGCAGGTTCGGGAGATGCTCAAAGCAGAATTGGATCAGCGGGTCATGGACATTTTGGCACAGCGCTACTGGAACAAGCCGGTCGAGGACTTGGATCCTCCACCGCTGGAGTTAGATCCCCTTAAGGATCTTCCCAAAGCCGATGCTGAGTCGCTATATTGGCACCGGAAGCTTGACGCTTCCACCTCGTCATTAACAAAGCTTGGAATTGGTCGGTTGGCTACGACAGTCGTCGCCAATTCTCTCAACAACCATGTGGACTTGCTCCTAGCCTCGTCTACGTTCGCTTCCCATCCTGGTGCCCGCAAACAGATCACCGATGCATGCACCAGTATCCTGAACGACAAGTTCTTCAGCACCAGCGATCAAGTCGAAAATTGCATCAAGCCATATAAGTTTGAGATCGAGATCGAAGATTCTGAATGGACTAAGGGCAGAGACAACGTGGGCAAAGTTCTAAAGGAAGAGCTTAGGTCGTGCGAGTCGGCCATGAAACTAGTGGAAGATGTTGTTGGAAAGCGAAAACTCAAGGATGTTGTTTCGTTTATCGACAGAGTGCGAAAGGGCGAAGTAGTACTAGAGGGCAACGGCGAGGGCGGCGCCGGTGGCTTCAGTGCCGCATTGTTGGAGAGAGGTTGGTATCTCCCTCTTTCTTCTGTTTGCAGACACTGACAAATTTTATCTAGGACGAGAAGGCCTCTTCCTTCGGGACCGAGCTGAACTCATCAAGATGAGACTTCTCGCCATCCGATCCAAGCAATGCGCAACGCAAAAGAACAAGTACTACTGCCCAGAGGTCTTCCTGGATGTTGTAGCAGATAAACTCACCTCCACGGCCGTGCTGTTTCTCAACGTTGAGCTCTTGTCTGAGTTTTACTATAATTTCCCACGTGAGCTTGATTCAAGACTTGGACGACACCTTCCAGACGCCGAGGTCGAGCGGTTTGCCCGCGAGGACCCCCGCATTCGCCGTCACTTGGACATCATCCGCAAGAAGGAGCTGCTGGAGCTGGCTC